GACTTTCCAAAGCCTTCAATTTACCCACACATGATTAAGACCTACAGCTCATTCCAAAGGCTCAATGCAGCTTCCTGAAACAGATGTGTGAAGTGTTTTAAAGCACACCACAAACTTCCTGACTGCTGAAAGGAGAATCAATAAAGATGAAAATACAGGTGGAAAGGATTGCTGGGACGAGCAATTTCACAGAATGTGCCTCAGCTGAGGGCCAGGCTCTGAGTTCTTCAGTGAGAAGCACATGGCTAACACTGAAGAGACAAACAATTCTGCACAAAGAATAAATTATTATAAATTATTTCTTTAAAAAAAAATAAATAAAATCACACAACAGACTTGCTGATAAATCACTTGTTGGTCAATATGAACCAGCAAATCCCCAAGGTGGCTCTTAGTCAGTTAAAACCACTGGAGGTAGATGATAAGCAAACTAGCTCAGAGAAACACACAGTGCCTTCATCACTTGCTTATATTCCAGGCAGTATATCCAAGGCACTGGATTTGAAACAGCCTCCAAACATCATTAGAGGTTCTGCTCTCCAAGTCTGACACTCTGGGAGCCCATGGGGACCGTCACCTTCCGTGCTGTCCGAGCAGGAGGTCCCAATGCCCCCATCCCCACTGTCGGCCACGCTCGGACAGCGACTGACGCGGCTCTGGGACTTCACGGACAACGTGGGTGTTTTCCAGTCAGTCTCCAAGAACTTGCTCTTCTGACTAGTGCTGGGACCTGGAGAGATTAAAAAAAGGGATATTTACGCTTCAGCCAACAGACTGAAAAACCTTTTAATACCATCGAGCCATATCTAATTACCAGCACTTCCAAACCCCAAACCGCTCCTTGCTTCGCTCCCTGTGTTACTGCTAAATAAATCTCTTTTGCAAAAGGAAATGGCAGCAAGACCAGGGAAGTCAAATGATATCAACAGGAGACTGAAAATCAATCTTGTTATGGAAGTCAGAATGCAAAAGTAGTAAATTATATTCCCATTGATGAGTCTGATGATATCACACCTAGCTGATGCTCTGGTACTCAGACTAAAAAGAGCAGCAGCAGCACAGCAGAACTGGCTAAATTAAAGATGCATTTTTTGCATTAACTATTAAGAACTCTCCCAGATTCATCAGCTATTGCTTAAGAGAGAAATTAATTATCAGATGATTCTCTGCCCTAGTGTACTTTTGCAGGAATAAGACTTCTCTGAACAAAAAGCTTCTGGTAAAGAATCTTCTCAGGGCCACGTGTCTGCTCAGAGAAGCTGAAACAGGATCCGACAGCAGCAGGGCTTTAGAGAAAGGACTGTCCTTACCCAATGGATTGTTCTGCTGGAGCCTCAGGTCTGCATCTTTCCCAGGAGCAGCCATCTTATCCATCCTGTGAACTGGATAAATAAATATAAATCACATTTTAAGTCAGTATAACCCAAACCCTGTTCCCAGTAACCAAGCAAAGGGTACACACACATCAGAGTAACACGGTATTTTGTATTTAATTAGCATCTCCTGCCAAAAATATCTGTTGTCCCTGCAGCAACAGAGGCAATACTTAACTTAAAAGAGGTTGTTTTTTTCTTTATGCCTGAAAAATGAGGATAATTCTTGTTTGCACCATTCTCCACGTAGCAGCTCAGCAGCACCTTTCAACTGGTGCATGTGTTATCCTCATGGCAGGTATTTATAGAGCAGCAGTCACCACGGTACCTACACACTGACTCTGTCTACAGAGACTACAAATTTATCTTTAAAAGTCTTAAGTCTCCACCAGATCATTTCTGCCCTCTGTAGAGGTCACTGAGCAACTACACGAGGAATAAAGTCCTTCAAAAATCAGCCTTGCTGTTCCATGCATGGCAATTTTTATCTATCCAGAGCTTTGGGTTAATTTATCTATTTCTCTGAGTACTTCAGACAGTGAATTTCCCGTCTCTGATAACACAAGTGCAATTTACAGCTCCCAGGCTACACTGTGGAAATTCAAGGCCTCTCTCCACCCAGACTAAACCCTCAATTGGCAGCTCTTACCGATTCTTGCTAAACTGATTCAAAGAGCTCAAAGAAGCCATTAATTCTTAGAAAACACACACATACAGATTTTACAACATAGGAGGGACACTGGGAATGTAACAGGATAACGAACCAGAAGCAGCATTCCACTCAGAGAAGAAATAAAACACTTCTAGGTAAATGTAGTGCTTATCATAATTTAGGTACATTTAGGTAGAAATTAGTAAATTGGATGTATTTCTGAAATTCCCCAGTTTAAATCTCAGTCTCCAGCACTACAGTCAGACAGTTCTAACAGGGAAATTCAAGCAGGGGCTCTTGGAATAATAAACAAATCCAAACAATCAGAGCATTCCCACCTCACTCAGCACCACCCTCCCAAAAACCACATGCAGACCTCCTTGGAGAGGACCCCCACCATCCCACAACCCCTCCCTTCCAGCAGCGGGTACAGGAGGTGGGAAGGGAGTGGTGGGTCGGGGAGAGGGAGAGAAACCACACGGAAGGGGAGGGCAGGTACACGGACTGATGTGACCCCGGGGTGGGGAAGAGGATGGGGAGAACAGTGATGGGGGTGGAGGGGGGAGAGAGGGGAAGGTGGGTGACCTGGGGCGGGGCGAGGGACACCGGACCCCACCTGGAAGGCACAGGCTGAGCCTGAGGGGTGAGACCCTGGGGGGCAGGAGGGGTCAGGCCATGAGGAGCCGGGTCCTGAGGGCTTGAAGAGGTGGGTCCCTGGGGGTCCGGTCCCTGAGAGGGCGAGGGGGGGTCAGACCCTGAGGGGCAGGGGGGGTCAGTCCATAGGGAGCCGGTCCTTGAAGGGCTGCGAGGGGTCGGTCCCTGAGGGCGGAGGGGGGTCTCTCCCTGAGGGCCCGGTCCCTAAGGGGCTGGAGGTCCCGGCGTGGAGGTGGACAGCCCCTGAAGGGCCAGCTCTCGAAAGGCCGGGGGAGGCGGTGGGTCAGTCCCTGAGCAGCCGGGGAGCGGTGTCCCGGTGTCGGTATCCCGGCAGCGATTCCCGGTGTCCCATTCCCGCTCCCTCACCTGCCTCCGCCGCGCCGCGCGCCGCGACCGTTACCCCCGCCCGCCCGGGGAGGGGGGCGTGGCATAGGGGACGGGGCGGGGCCTCCTCACGGGCCGCAGCCAATCCAGCGCGCCGGCCCCTCCCCTTCCCGCCTCTCATTGGCTCGCCCCGAATGCTGTCCCCGCCCACCCCCGCAGAGCCGCGGAGGGAGCGGCGGGTGCGGGCGGGGGAAGAGTGTCCGCGGGCGGCACCCGTAGGGCGGGGGCTGAGGGAGCCGGGGGGGCTCAGCCTGAGGAAAAGCGGGACGAGGGGGGGCTTCGGGCTCTCTGCGACCCCCTGACAGGAGCGGGGAGCCAGGCAGGGACTCTGCTGGCAGGGGACAAGGGACAGGATGAGGGGGAATGGCCTCAAGCTGCGCCAGGGGCGGTTCGTGTTGGATATTGGGAAAATTCCCCCATGGAAAGGGGTTGTCACCGCTTCCCAGGGCAGTGGTGGAGTCACCATCCCTGGGAGTGTTCAAAAAACACGTGGATGTGGCAGCTGAGGACGTGGTTTAGTGGTGCTGTTCAGCTGGATGCCATGATCCCATTTCCGACTTAAACAATTCCACGATTTTACGGCTTCAGCGCCGAGAAAAAAAAAAAAAAAAAAAAAAAAAACACACGGCACGACCAGCACCTGTCAACACGATTTATTTACATCACAAGAGCCCCCCACCTTGGCACAGCACCACAGCGGAGGGCACGTCCCTCCAGGAACAGCTCCCCCCCCCCTTCCCTCTGCCAAACCAAAATGTCCTTGGGAAAAGTAAGACTCAAAAGTGTCCTTGGGAAAAAGTAAAAGACTCGTCACAGCGACGCCCTCACCCCGGGGAGGGAGGAGGATGCAGCAGGAGCCACCGTCTCTGAGCGATGAGCCTTCCAAAAATGTCCTCTGCCCCCCGAGCTCTGCCAGCACCGACCCACGCCAGGTCCTGGTGGGATGTCAAGGTCCAGCCGCCTCTCCAGGGGGGTCCTGCTCGCCCCCGAGCCCCCCGTCGTGGCCCTGGCGCTGCCGCCCTGCCCACCCCTCCCGCAGCTCCTGGTACAGCTCCTGGTGCTCCTCCTTCCAGCGCCTGAAGGTGTCCGAGGTGAGCGAAGCCTCTCCCAGCAGCTGCTCCAGCGCCTCCAGCTCCACCAGCTTCGCCTGCCCGGCACAAGGGGGAGGTTTTTGGGGCGGCCACCCGCGGGCAAGGGGGGTTTGGGGAGTGGAAATCGCGGGGATGGGGGGGGGGTCCCACCTTGAGCGTGCTCTGCAGCGCCCGCACGGCGTGCACCCTCTCGTTGATGTGCGGGTTCTTGTTGCGCCGCAGGAAGGATTTTCGGCACTGCTCCTGCGTCAGGAACCGCCGCTGCCCGATGAGGGACACCCCGCCCTGACTCAGGCACCGCATCAGGCTCTCCAGGTCCTCCCCGGCGGGGTCTGAGGGAGGGGAGGGGGGCACTGGAGCAGGAGGGGAGCCCCCAAACCCCACGGGGCTCCCCCCTGCGTGTGAGTGGGAGGGGGGAGTGCAGAATCGTGGAAAGGTTTGGGTTGGAAGGGATCTGAAAGTTCACCCAGTTCCAACCCCTTAGCACGGCAGGGACACCTTCCACTGTCCCATGTTGCTCCAACCTGGCCTTGGACACTTCCAGGGATGGGGCAGCCACAGCTTCTCTGGGCAACCTGTGCCAGGGCCTCCCCACCCTCACAGCGAAGAATTTCCTCTTAATATCCAATCTGAACCTACTCTTTCTAGTTTCCCCCTTGCCCTGTCACTCCATGCCCTTTTAAAAAACCCCTCTCCATCTTTCCTGTAGGCTTCCTTCACCCCGAGATGGCTCACTCTTCAACACACCCCAACTCGAGTTACCCCCCAGCACACACACAGAGAAAACGGAGGCCCTGACTGTGATTAAAGGGTGCACACGAGGTGACAGTGTGACAGATGCCACCCTCAACACCTACCCATGGGGGAGCAGGGCCGGGGGCTGCCCTGGGGGCTGCTGGACTCGCCACTGGCCGGGGAGAGCTGGGCTTTGTCCGAGGGGTTCTGCAGCCTCTTCCTCGGCTGGGGGAGAGATGAGGCAGGAGGTGAGATGAGGAACCTCTGTCCCCTGCCCAGGATGTCCCCCAGGGCCACTCACCGAGTCACATCCGTGCCTGGGGGACTCATCATCGGGGTCCTCAGCCTCTGTCTCGCTGTAGCAGTCTGGGGAGAGCAGTGGGAGTGGGAAGATTCCCCCCTCAGGGCTGAGCATCATCCCGAACCCCTCTCAGGGGGAGGTTTTTCACATTCCCACAAATCACAGGCAAAGCTCCCAGTACTCCCAACACAGGGGATGTGGCACCAGGCACAGCTGCCCCACCAGGACCTCCAGGTCCCCCCAGGGTCCCCATGTCCCACTGACCCCACCCCCAGGTCCCCTCAGGGTCCCCATCTCCCACTGACCCCACCTCCCACCCCAGAGAAGGGCTCATTACCTTCCTCCTTGTCTGGGACTGACTGGTGGGCGAGTGTGTACTTTGTTTTGGCTGTTATGAGCCGACTGACCCACCTGGGGAGGGAAAGGACAGACAGACAGGCAGAGGAGGGTCCTGGCCAGCCCAGGAGTGGCAGGACTGGCACTGACCAGCACCAGTGGGTGTGTTACTCACATGCTCAGGTCAGCCAAGGTTTCGGCAGCAAAGACAAAGGGCTTGTACTTCTGGTGGCACAGCTGGAACACACTGAGGACAAGCAGGTGGCTGCTGCGGTGACACAGAACCAGCCACAAGCCCCCTCCAGCCTCCCCATTCCAATCCAGCCCAGGGGTCTGGGCTTCTCCCTGCCCTGGGAGATGTCCTCGGCCTCATCCCAGGTAATACCAGGAGCACAGTGCACGTCTTGCTCAGTGCAGAGAGAATATTGCAAACCCTTTGGGGACTCCACCAGCCCCTTGGAGGCCCCACCAGCCCCACAGGGACCCCGGCAGGCCCATGGGGACCCCACCAACCCTGTGGGGACCCCACAGCCCTGCAAGGACCCCATCAACCCTACTGGGACCCCACGAGGCCCATGGGGACACCAGCCGATCCATGGGGACCTCTGAAGCTCTGAGAGGATCCCACAAGCCCCATGGGGACATGCAGGTGGTACCCAGCAGGATTCATCAGCACGTGCCCAGCATCCCCCCCCTCCCACCACCAGCTGGGAGGTGAGACAGACCCCACTCACTATTTTTTCTTCTGCTCCCTCGTGCTCTCCAGGTCATAGGTGGCCACGTTGATGAGTCCTGCAGCCTTCTCATCCTGTGAGGAATGGGGACAGTGTGTCCAACACCACCACCCTGGGAAATCCCAGCTGCCCAGGTGGGAGGGGGGGGTACGAGGGCACCCGGTGGCCCCCACTCACGTTGGGGTGGTTGTACCAGTAGAGCGTGTGGCCCTTCAGCACGAACCAGCACCGCTTCCACTTCTGGGCCATGAAGCCCACGTGGTCCTTCTTCTTGAGGAGCCACCCATCGCAGTCCACCCGGCCCAGGTCCCGGCACGAGACCCGCCGGCGGCTCAGCCTGGTCGCCACTCCTGCCACCACGGCACCGGGGGGGTGTCAAGGCAGGGCAGGGGGAGCAGAGCCCCCCTCCCAGGGGGAGCCCCCAGCCCCCTTCACCCCAGCCTGGCAGGGTCCTGCTCACCTTTTGGTCTGCGTCCTGTCTGGGGGCTGCCCTGGATGGGGAGATGGAGATGAGCATTTAGGGATGACATAAGGGGGGGTGAGGGCAGGGCAGCGTTAGCTGAGCCCCCCCAGCAGCACACACAGCCCTCAGGGACCCCCTTAGGGACCCCCAACTTGCACACACACAGCAGCGAGCCCAGAGGGGAGCTTGGAGGGGAACCCATCCTGGCACAGGCGTTTTGACTCCCACCACAGGCAGGACACAAAGTCCCGTGTCACCCCCCCACTCTGACACCCTCCCAGTGTCCCCCCCAGCTCTCACCTCCCGAGGGAGCTGGCAGGGCTCTGCACCCCCAGCCCCCGTGGTGGGGGCTGCCGTGGGGCTCAGCTCTGTGCTGCGGGGTCTGGTGGCAGCAGAGATGCCCGGAGAGTTTGGGATGTCCGGTGGGGTGCCCAGGGGGTTGTCCAAGGGGGTGTCCAAGGGGGTGCCACTCTCCCACTCCTCCCCTGCAGCGCCTGCGAACAGCGAGCGGGGCTGCAGCCTCCTGTCCTGGGGGGAGATCTCTCTGTCCCCGCCTCTTCTCCCGTCCTACCCCGTCCTGACAGTCCCGGCAGCTCCTCCACGGCCGCCCTGGGCAGCCTCAGGTCCTGCTCGTCCTCTTCCTCCTCTTCGTCAGTGACGGGATCCGGCGCTGAGTCCGGCCCGGAGTCCAAGTCGGCACCAACGCTGGGGGAAAACGGGATTCCTGAGCCACAAACCTCTTTGACGTCTGCGGGGATCCCACTATCGGCCTCTGGGTGGGGCACCCGCGGTTCTCCCCGCGCGAGGAGTGGGGCTGGAGGGGACGCGGTGGTGGGGGCTCAGCACCAGCTCCGCCAGACCTCCGTGGTCCCCGGCAGGGTGGGAGCCCGGCCGGTGGCTCCTGCCCGCGCTGCCGTTGGCTCCCCGCACGCCTTTCCATTCCGGGAGAGGAGAAGGGTCATGTCTAAATATAGTTTCAACCCCACTAAAACGTTACCAAGTGAATGAATTACAAACACAACCCACTTTTTTTTCCGTTCCTTAAGGCTACTGGGCAGCTCCCCCGGCCGCTCGCAGGCAGCCGCTGCGCCGCTGGGACTTCTCCACCCCCAAAAAAGAGCTGGGAAGGGGCCTTGGGGGCATCCAAACAGCTCCTTGCTGGCTGGATTGGGGGTGTTGGGGTGTCGGGATGGGGCTCACCTGGAGGTCAGGGACACGGGGCTGCCTGGGCACTCGCCACTCCTGGTGCCGGGGGAATCCGCAGCATCCAAAAATGCTCCCGGGAGCTGTGGATGGAGTGTCAGGGACAGCCCCACCCACCATGGACCCCAGAGCTTTAGGGATCACCAGTGGGATGGGAGATGCCTGGCTCTGAGTGTCTCTGCCTGGTTCCCAGCACATCCCAGTAAGGTACTTGGGATGAACTGGGAGCACCGGGATCACTCACTTGCTGTCTGGGAGAGGGGGGTGAGCCATGCAGGTCAAGGGGGATCTTCTTCAGCACCAGTGTCACCTCGTTTGCTTTCTCCAGCAGCTTCTTCTCCAGGTTGATGCGTGTCCAACCCACCTGCACAGCCCCATGATGAGCTGTGGCACACGGCCCTGGCCCCATGGCTGCTGCATCCCCCAAACCCTCCCCAGACACAGATCCCACATCCCCCAACCCCCCAGCGGTGGCTCCTGTGTCCCTCAGACCATTCCCAGCCATGGGTCCTGCTTTTTGCAGATCTCAACCCCTATATCCCCCAAGCCCTCTCAGCTACACTCCCCCTAAAGTCCTCCCAGTCACAGGTCCCATGTCCCCCTAAAATCCTCCCGGCTGCATGTCCTGTGTGCACCCAAAATCCTCCCAGCTGCACTCCCCATATTCCCCCAGCCCTTCCGGCCTTGCAGCTCCCTGTCCATGACTTCCCTGCCAAAAACCAGCCCCGTCCCCTCCGACTCACCACGACCTGCTCATTGACCTGCACGATCTCGTCCCCGGGCAGGATGTGCCCCCCGTGGGCAGCCAGGGCCTGGGCAGAGGCAGGGTGGGAGTGGGGTGCCCCGTCCTGGGTTCCCACCCCCTCTCCCCAAGCTAATCCACACTCAGGATCTCTCCCGGATGGGGAGAACCGGGGAGGGATTAACCATTAACCCGACCTTTCGCGGCAGCGGCCGGAGCTGCCCAGGTGGGATCGGGGTGCAGAGGGGGCTCCCCCCGTGCCCAGGCTGTGCTCACTCATGAGATGAGTTGCACAGTCTCAGCTGCAGGCAGCCCCCCCCAGCTCTGGGTTGGGATGTGGATTAGGGCCCTAAGAGGACCCCATGGACTGGGGGAATTCCCCATGGCAGGTGCTAAAAGGGACAGGGTGGCACTTGGGGGGGTGACAGACAGGGAGGGGCAGCCCCTCGCTCACCTCCGAGGTGGTGGCAGACACGAAGTGCAGGCAGGAGCTGGTGGAGGTGATCTCAAAGCCCTGAGTGGGACAGGAAGGGGGTTTGAGCAGGGATCTGGGGGGGTCCAGAGGCAGTGGGGGGCACTGGGGTGGTGGGGACTCACCAGCGGGGTGGTGATGAGTGTCAGGGGGTCAGAGGGTGGCACCGAGGTGTCAGGGGACACTGGGGGGCTCCCCCATGGGCTGAGGGGCAGTGTTGGCGAGTCAGGGGATGTTGGTGGGCTCTGCCACAGGCCTGGGGGTAGCGATGGGGTGCTGGGGGACCTCGGGGGGCTGCCCCTTGGGCCGGGGGGCAGCGCCAGCCCCACCTGCTGCAGCACAGCCCTGCGGTCCAGCAGCGCTGGGGGGCTGCAGCCCACGATGCTCTCGCAGATGCCCACGATGTGCTGGCACTGTGGGTGACAGCAGGGGGCTCAGATGGGCCCTGGCAGACCCCCCCCATGCCTGCCACCCCCTCCTCACCCACAACACTTACGATCCGCAGGATCTGCCTGTCCCTCTCAGCCACGGGACAATCCTGGGGGGACAAGATGTGGGGATGAGCGGGAAGGGATGGCTCCATCCCAGCTGGGGGGACCCCGTGGGGAACCCCCCCTTGCACCACATCCCCTCTCACCCCACCTCCAGCCCGGCAGAGCTCTGGGGGGACAGGAGAGCTGCCAGCTGGCTCCCCAACCCCGACACTGCCTGTCACCCACCGCCTGCAGCGTCTCTCCCAGCTGGGCACACAGCAGGACGATGTCCTGGCTGGCCGAGAAGTCGTTGAGGGTGGAGAAGAGGTACCTGGAGGGGGACACAGAGCTCAGCCCCTGGTTGTGGGGGTCACCCAGCACCCAGGGGGGCCCTCACCTGCCCCGGACCTGTTGAGCCAGGAGAAGAGTCCCTTGGCAGCCCCGACCAGGTCGATGACTCGGGCCAGGAGGGTGAGGGAGGGCGGCCGGGGGGCATCCCCTGCCGACAGCCCCCCCAGCACCAGGCTCTGGATGCCCTGTGCCAGCTCCTGCAGCCTCTCTGTCAGGGTCCGCAGGCTGGTGCTCGCCAGCCCTGCGTCCTGGGGGGGACATGGATGCCAGGGGATGGGGGGGGCAGTGGGGATCTCAGAGGTGCCTCCACATTCCCACCTTCACCCAGCCCTGATTCCCAGCTCCAACCAGCACAGAGTGCCCCCACATCCCTCCACCACCGAGTTCAAGGTGCCCCAGTGTCCCCACCTTCACGCAGCCCAGGGTGACCCCACATTCTCCCTCTTCATTCCATGGTGCCCCCATGTTCCCCTTTCCACCCAGCCCAGGGTGACCCCACATCCTCCTTCTCCAGTCCAAGATGCCCCCATGTCCTCCCCTTTACCCAGCCCAGGGTCCCTCCACATCTCCTCTCCAATGAGTCCAGGGTGTCCCCACCTTCACCCAGTGCAAGGTGACCCCATGTCTTCCCTTCCACCCAGCTCAGGGTGCCCCCAAATCCCCCCTTCCTCCCTGGTTTCCCCACAGCCCCTGGGGGTCCCTGCACTCACCAGCTCACGGAGCTGCTCCACAGCCTCCAGCAGCAGCTCCTGGTGCCCCAGGGGCCACACACCCAGTGCCTCCAGTGCCTCCACATCCAGCCCCAGCAGGTCAGGCCCTGCCAGCTCCCAGGCCTCGAAGGGGTACCCCTGCACCGCTGCATCCAGCCCTGCCACAGACCAGCATCCCCCACCGTCTGGGTGACCCCAGGGCGTGACACCTGGCTGATGGCACGGCCCTCTTCATGCAGTGAGTTCACCCAGTCCCAGCCTAAACGGTGGGCACGGCCAGACCCCCACCCCATCCACAGCAAGATCCATGGAAAATGCCCCCTCTCAAGAAGAGATGAGGGATGAGAAGCGCTGCCACCTCCCCCAGCCACACCAACCCACCCACATGTCACCAATCTGGGGACACCTCACCCCAGAGCCAGCAGTGGGGTGTCCCCTGGGTTGGGAGGGGCAGGCGTGGGGGGTGGGTCTCACCTCGGAGCCAGGCGGTCACCTCTGCGGGGCCCCAGGAGCCCACGGGCTCCATGGCGGCGGGGCCGGAACGGGCGGCGGGAGCCGGGAGCGGGAGCTGGGAGCGGCTCCCACCTGTGCCGGGAGCGGGAGCCCCATTGGAGCGCCCGAGTGCCGCTCACCTGCCCAGCGCCATCCCACGGGGCGAGGCCCCACGGCGCGCCCCAGGTGAGTCACGGCGGGATGGGGACGGTGACGCACGGCCGCTGGAACCCCCCCCCCCGGAAAATGGGGCTGCTGGAACCCTCCTGGAAATGGCACACGGTGTGTTTTACCCCCCCCAAAACCGCTGTGTGCAGTGAAGGCTGAGGCCCAACAGCACTCGTGACACTAGTCACCCCAGCTGCCCTGTTTGGCCACACAGACACTCCCCCCCAGAAGAGCCTAAGGGAGCCCCTGCTCAGCCCCCTCCCCACCGGTGTCCCCACTGGTCCCTGGCCGGGTGACCCCAGGGGGTGACACCTGGCTCGTGGGAGAGCCCTCTCCATGCAACAAGTTTGCCTGGTCTCAGCCTAAATGGTGATGATGACCAGACCCCCACACCACCCTCAACGGGATCCAAGGAATGACGCTCTCCCAGCGAGAAGAGATGAGGGACGGGAAGTTTTTGGGGCGTCACCCCCCGCCCAAGGCACATTCACACCCCTGCCTTTGCGAGGGAGGGGGATTGAGGCAAGGGGCAGCCCCCATACAGGCCTGCAGAGCCCCATGGCTGAGCCTGGCTCTTCAGCCCCCCCAGACGTGACCTGGGCTGGCTCCGGCCCCCCCGCCAGCGCCTGGGCTCCCAAACTCCCCCGCCCTGCGTGTGCGCTCGGGGGAGCAGCGGGCGCTGATCGCGGCTGACAGCGGCTCTGTGCTCGCCCGGTGCCGCCCTTCCCAAGGGGGCCGGCGGGCAGGACGCAGGCACGGACCCCTCGCCGTGCTCAGGGCAGGGGTCCCCGTGTTGGGGGGTCCCAGCCCCGCCGCCGCCCCACGGGGCCTGATCCTGCTGCTCCCCACCACGCCATGATCATCCGCCCCAAGCGCCTGACCCCGGGGTACTTCCGTCTGCTCCAGGTAAGGGGGCCAGCAGGGTTGGGGGCAGCCCGTGGGGACCCCTGGGATGGTGCCCGTGTCGCCCACCAGGCCTGCTGGCCACGGGAGCCATTCCCGGCTCCATCCCAGCTCCCTGTTAGCAGTGAGGGTGCTGCCAGTGGAGTCCCTCAAGTGCTGCTCAGAGCACTCCAAAAGCCATCCTGGAAACCCCAGGGGGGGACAAAGCTGCCCCCTCCCCCTGTACACCACCAGGCGCGATGGAGACATTCAGGGCATGGGCCCAAGCCCCCTGTTCCCACGGGGTTTGGGATTTGGGGTGCCCCAGCACTCCCCTCTCCTCTCCTCTGTCCCCCTACAGATGCAGCTGGCGGCAGGACGGGGGGCCGAGCCGGGGGGGCGGCTGCTGACCCCCCTGGCCCTGCTGCTGGCGGCTGCCGGGCTCTGCCTGTCCCTCTACAGCGCCCGCAGAATGGCTGACCCCGCCAAGGCCCCCCCGGCGCCGTGAGGAGGGGGCTGGCGGGGCCGTGGGGACAGTCCCCAGGGGGGTGTCGGGGTCCCCCTCCACCCGCCATCCCCCATCTGAGCGGAGCTGCGGCGACTTTCCGGCCGACCTGCGCCACATCCAGCCCTTCCCGCCACGCCTGGGCACGCGATGGTGCCCTGGGGAGGGGGGACACGTGCCTGTCCCTGTCTGTCCCCGCTTTTGGAGCCGGGATGGAGACTGGAAAAGCCGCCTCCAGCTCCAGAGCTGCCGGATGAGCCCCTTCCCGAACCGCTGCGAGACACCGGGATCCAGCCATGAGACTGGAGGCTGAACGGGCAGACAGACAGATGGTGGAGCCGGGAGCTGCGTCCATCTCCATCTCCCACTGAAGCAGAGGGGCCCCTTGTACCCTGCTGGCAGCCACAGACCCCCTCTGTCCCCGTGGGAATGTGCCAGGAATGAGGCCAGCACCGAGCACCATTAGGTAACGGGGCAGGGGGGACGTGGGGCCACGGGGTCGGTGACGTGTCCCCTGGGCAGGCACATCCCGCTGGAATGGCGGCTGCAGCCTTCCCGACCCCCCCTCTCCCGACCCCACGCAGAGCTGCAGCTCTCCATCCCCCCCAGGGTCGGGGACAAATCCGGGCAGGCTGCATGGAAATAAACCCTTCCCTACCCAGCACAGCTGCGTTGTCGCTCTGCCTTCCTGCTGCTCCAGCCCGGAGCCCCATGCCCAGCTCATTCCCAGGCCCCAGCACGGCAGGAGGGATGAATTGGGGTCAGCTGCTCCGTAGGAATTCACAGCGGCGGCAGCGGGTGGTGGCACTGTCACACAGTGTCCCCTCAGGGTCACCAGCAGCATCAGTCTGGCAGACACGAGGCAGGGAGGGTGGCAGGGAGGGTGATCGTGCAGCCCCAGCCCTCCAGGACCATGAAATCACCGGTTGGTTTTTGGGGACAGGAGCCTCAAAGTGTCCCTGCCAAGGGGACACCAGCACTCCCCTCTCAAGGCCCAAACCAGCTGCTCGCTGATGCTTGAGGAGGTCACTCAAGCACATACTACCCCAAAAAAAGCTGCCTGGGAAACCCCTGCCAGGAGGGCAGAGGGAGTTTCACCACCCTGCCCGGGCAGGAGCACTGGGATGAGGCTGTTCTTCTGGGCTGGCATGGACTCCTCTGGGTGATGGGGGAGAGCACAACACCGAGAGGTGCCCCCACACCCCTCGGGGGGACTGTCCCCCTCATATCCAGAGAGCTCTCAATGCTTCCAGGCTCTTAGTTGGCATATTTTAATGGGTGAATCACTGTAATAACCTCTGACCCAAGGACAGACACCCAAAATCTCTCCAAAAGCAACGAGAGGAGCATACAGTCCTGCCAGGACAAACTGCTTGTCCCTTCTTGGAGAAGGAGGACGCATGGTGAGGGCACCCAGGGTCTCCTTGGCTCCTTCTCCTCGTTAGTCCCGGGGCTGCAGGAGGAGCAGGGTGGTTTTTCCTGGCAGGCTGTGCTGGGACGTGTTTTTCTCACAAAGCTGAGGACAAAGATGCCTTTACAGAGCCGCCAGATCTCAGTCCCTCATCCCCTGGGCTCAGCTGGACGTCTCCATCTCGGTGGCCTCCTCCAGGGGCTGGGTCTGCACCTCCACCTTCTTTGGGGGGATGTAGGAGCCCATCCCCGCGGCACGCTCGGCCTCCTCCTGCGTGTACGGAGTCTCCCGCAGCTGCTTCAGCCTGGGGGAGGCACAGGGGGGTGTGAAGGCTCCCACCCCGCTCCTCAGGGCAGGACCAGCCCAGAACTGACACCACCACCCCGAGGGATGGCGGGGCTGGGCCCCTCCTCACCTCTTCTTGTGCACCTTGGACCTGAAGTGCTCCTTCATGCTGTTGAGGTCCACGAAGTAGCGCCTGGGGGGGACCAGAGGATGGGGGTCAGAGAGGACCCCGAGATGGGAGTAAGGCTGGGGAGAGCCCTACTGAAGGGCCGGGGTCCCCCCACAAGCCTGGGGCCAGTCCCCCACGGGCTGGGGTTCACCCTGAGACTGGGACAAGCTTTCCCAAGCCAAGAACCCCCCGGGGGCAGGACACCGCCCACCCCAGAAGCCATGGATCCCCCAGGACCAGGGCAACCCCATCCCAGGGGCCAAGACCCCCTTCCCGGACCAGAACACGCCCTCCCTCTCCAGGAGCATCCCAAGAACCCCTCCAGAACCAGAGCAACCCCATTCCACGGGTCTGGGACTCCCCCGGACCCCAGGAGCCATGAAGTCCCCAGAACCAGGGCTACCCCCTCGCAGGGGAGTGGGACCCCCAAGACCAGGACACCCCCCATCCCAGGGTCCGAGCCCCCCCGCGTCCCCCCCGCACGCACGCGCAGTGCAGGCAGTAGAACTGGGCGCAGCCCGGCAGGTCGGGGTCGACCTCCTGGCGCAGCAGCCGCGCCGCGTTCTCGGGCTTCATGTCCGCGTGGATCTCGTCCAGGTCGCGGCGGCGCCGCTTCGTCTTGAGCTGCCGGGCGAGCGAGTGCGCCCGGTGGGCGCCGGTGCGGCGGCCGTTCCGCGGGGACATGGCGGGCACCACGCCGGGCCGGGCCGGCACTGCGCAGGCGCGGGAGGCTGCGGGCCCCGCCCGCCCGGCTCTACGCCCCGCCCACAAACCTATAAGCACCGCCCACCAAGCGGCAGACCACGCCCATGAAGCGACAGGCACCGCCCCCGAGCAGATAACCCCCGCCCCCAGTCATAAGCTCCGCCCACAAAGCGCAGATCCCGCCTCCAGGCAGGAACGCTCCGCCCACTAAGCGACAGGCTCCTCCCACAAGGCTTGACCCGGTCTATAGACCGCGCCCACTATGTGGTAAGCCACGCCTATCAGCAGCAGGCCACGCCCTCGGCCACGCCTTCCCCGGCTCAGCCTTGGCCTGAAGCCCCCCGGGCCCGGTGACGGTCCCCGGGCATAGCCGTGTCCCCCAACCCCCCCAACCCCCGGTGGCCCCTCCCCGGGCTGTCCCCGTGTCCCCCCGCGGGCCCCGCGCTGCCCCGGTCACCGCTGTGATGAGCCGGGCAGGGCTCAGCGCGCCGCGTTCCCGGCGCTGATCGTGTTTCCTCCGTGATCAATTATAAATAGGGACACGCTGCGGGGGGAGCGCGGAGCTCCGGCGTCTGCTCTGCGCCGTGGGAGGGGGATGTCCCAGCCCTGGGGGTCTCCTGTGGGCGAGGGGCACTGGGGGCGCTGGGGCGCGGGGGTGGAGGGGAGGGTTTGGGGGTGACCGGAGCAGGCGCCCCCGCACTGCCCCCGGCTCCGCGCGGGCTCAGATTCCTTTTGTGCATTGGAAGTGGCCGCTGAAACTTTAATGAAGCCACCGGATCGCCACTCGGTTCCCCCCCCCCCGCCCCACCGCCCGCGACTCCGCCGGCTCCGGCCCCGCCGAGCCCCTCACCATGGCCCAGGGCTTCTGGCGGCTCTACAAGGCCAAAGTGCTGCAGACCCTCGGGGGGCCCCGGGCGGACGGGGCGCTGCAGGACGAGGTGAGGTGGGAGGGTCCCCACCGAGCCCGGGACCCCCCGAAGTGGGGTGACCGACCCCCCTGCCCGCACCCCTGTGCTCACCCGGGGGCTTCGTTGCAGGGGGACCCCCCCGAGCTGATGGAGACGGCCGAGACCCCCGCGCTGATGGAGGAGGGGCCCAGCCCCGTGTCCCAGCTGGCAAGGAAGGTGAGGAGGGGGCTGGCAGAAGGGGGGGTGTGTTGCTGGGACCCGGGGGTCCCGGGTGAGCCCAGTGCTGCCTCCCCCGCAGGTGCAGGGGGTGGGTGCCCGGAGCTGGCGGACACTCTCGTCCCTCTTCACCCGCGAGGACGAGCACCAGCTGCTCAGCCCAGAGCCCTGCGCAGACCAGTGAGTTGGAAACTGACTGGGGGGGAACCCAAAACCCGGATCAAGCCCCTGGGAACTGCCCAGCCCCTTCATCCCCCCATCCCATCACCTGCATCCCCCTTCCCTGCCCTATACCCTGGGGGAGAGCCGGCATGGAGGGGGACATGAGAGGCTTGGGGGTCACAGTTCTGGCCCTTGTGGGACCTGATGAGAAGGGTCCCCACACCGATGTCCCTGTCCTCACTCTCTCCCCAGCCCACTGGCTGCTGAGCCACCCGAGCTGCCCCAATCTGAGAAGGCACCCGGATTTTGGGATCTCTTTGCTACCAAGTGGCAGCAGGCGGCAGGGCCAGACAAGGGGGTGCCCCCCCCGGAGCCAGATGAGAGCCCCGGGGAGCCCCCAGGCGAGGACGGCAGTGACCTGCGGGAGCCGGAGGAAGGGGCCTTCCACTGGGGCTTCCTGGCCGGCAAACTGGCTGAAATCCGGAATAAAAATGCCCCCAAGGGCAACTAGAGGAGGATGCACCAGCCAGACTCTCCAGCAGTATTTGTGGCCCCCCCACTGCTACTGGGCAGCCCCCTGCCTGCACCCGAGGGCTCTGCAGTGGGTTTGGGTGTCATGTGTGCACTAAAGACCCCGAGGTGCCCTTTTTCCAAGCTCTGCCAAGTGCTTTCCTTGCCCTCATCCCCTCCACAGCAGCCCCGTTGCCCCTGGAGCAGCACAACCCCCACGGTGGGCAGGGGGAACTGCCCCTCTCCCCCCACCCCAGAGCATCTACCCACACAAACCACACACACTGCCAGGCTAGAAAAAAAACCCCAAACAGCTTTATTGAGTGCTGTTCTGGCCCCACCAGCCCCTCTTCTGGGGAGGAGGGGGTGTGGTGTGTGCACTGCCTGCGATGAGGGGCTTGGGCTCTGCCCACATCCCCAGCCTGCAGTTGGAGCAGGGTGTGGGTGGTCAGTGGGGGCTGCAGGACCATCCCACCACCCTGGGCTGGGGGCACGAGGAGGATGGAGAAGATGGGGGACAGCAGGAGAATGGCAGCCCTCCAGCCCTGAGGCCACGGAGAGACTCACCCAGGGGAGCCCCTTCCCCACCTGCCCCTCAGGTGCCCCCACCACGCTCAGCCTGGGGTCTGGGGTAGTCCTGGTGGCCTTCCCAGCCTGCAGCACTCCCAGCACACCAGGACTGTGGATGCCACCAGCCCTTTGGCCACATCCAGCAAGGGCGAGGGGATACGTCCAGCCAGCAGGAGCCACAGTGGGTGTCCTCATCCCGGCCGGGCTGTCTCTGCTTAGACCGTGGACTCCTTGGCGGCCGCCCAGGCCCTCTGGCAGCCGTAGAGCCACTTGATGACACGGGCGTTGCGCTCCACCACCGAGACGGCAGAGCCCAGCCGGGCATCCTCCGGCTCCTCCTCGCCCGGCCCCGCGCCCCCCTCGCTGCCCCCCGAGGCCTGCCCGGGCTCCGACTCGCAGGAGCCGAGGAGCCGAGCCGAGCCGCTGTCCCAGCCCGCCGGCCCGAACCGCTCCCGCCCCAGCAGCTCCACCAGCGCCCGGTCCAGCCCGCAGTAGTTGAAGAACCGCTCCTTCTCCGAGAGCGGCAGCGACACACGCAGGGCCAGCGCCTGCTTCCCGGGGGGCTGCGGGGGCTCTGCCGGGGGGCTGCCGGGCACGGGGAAGGTGCCACCGCTGCCGCTGCTGCTGCTGCTGTTGGCACCCGGTGTCCTCGCCTCCTCCTTCTCCACAGGCGCCCACAGCATGGGGGTCTCGGGGCTCTGCGGGGGTGGTGGTCCCTCGCCCAGCCCCCTGGCTGGCGGGGAGCTGGGGGGCTTGTCCCTGAGGGGTCCCTGGAAGAGGCGTCGCACCAGCCCGGAGCCCTTGGCGTTCTCCTTGTCCCCGCCCAGGCAATCCCGTTTCTGCCGGTAGATGATGAGGGAGTCGGGTCTCAGCAGGCGCCTGCTGCCGCTGCGGCGCGACACGGGGGACGGGGGGCACGGCAGCTTCCTGGGCCCCTCCCGGCCCAGCTCCGAGCCCTGGCACAGCTCATTGCACTGCTGGCGGGCGAGGAGGCGCCGGCCGAGCGGGGACAGCCGGGGCGAGCCCCGCAGCGCCGGCTCCTGCCGCCGGCTGATGACCTGCTGGGACTTGACGTATTTGGCCTTGTCGGCCTCCAGCCGCTCCACGGCGCTGGGTCTCCGGCCCCCGCTGCCCCCCGGCTCCCCCGGGCACTCGGGACCCCGGTTCAGCCAGGCCAGGGGGGAGCCACGGCCGGGGGCCACGAGGCGCAGGTTGCTGGAGGCGCAGACGGCAAGAGTGGGACTGCCCAAGGGCACCATCGCCCAGAAATGTCACTGCTGGTCGCTCTGTTTGCCCCCCGAGTGGTTGTGGGAGCTTCGGTGCTGCAGCTGGGGAGGCTCTGGAAGCTTCACTTGGCTCCTGGATTCCACCCTGGGAGGAGAGAGGAGAGTCAGGGTTAGCCTCGAGGCTGCAGCAGTGAGGAGGAGGATGGGGGTGAGGCAGAGCCGGGGGTCCCCTCAATCCCAGGCAGGCAGCGAGTCCTGCCAGCCCAGGCAGGACCAGCCCACGGGCAGGAAGAGAGAAGCGCCGAACATCCGCCGGCTTCACTCGCATCCCAGGAGCGGCTTCCAACAGGAAAAAATACCGGAGCCGGCCACTGCCTCGCCTTTCCGAGAGCAGGGGCGGCAGAACAAAGCCCTGCTCAGGAGAGCTGGTGAGCTGCCCCGCGTGTGGGGGCAGCAGGGCAGGGGCTGGGGGGGGTTTTGGGGTCCCCGAGCTGTGCTCCCCTGGCAGGGAGCCAGGGGGGTTTCCTTAGCCCTGGGGTGCTCCAGGCCTTGCTCGGCTGCACCCGAGCACCCATGTGTGCATCCAGAGGTGGAGGGTGCTGGGGAAGGAGTCCAGAGGAGCCTGAGGCTGTAAATGCCCAAAGCAGAGGGTTTCAATGAGCACAAAAGGCCTGAATGGCCCTGAAGAGCCATCACCAGCTGACCCAGGGCCTTCCCAGGTGACAGCAGGGCCACAGGGCCCAGGAACCCCCTGCCACGCTCCTCCACACACAGCCCACGGGTTCCACGCCGCATCCACCCCACTGTACAGGTGGGGAAACTGAGGCATGTGGTGTGTCTGGCCCTGTGCTCCCAAGGGATGAGCTCCCCAGGCTCCCCTGGCAGCCGTGGGAAGGTGTCCCCAGCAGAGGGTCCTGTCACCCCCCAGCAGAGCCAGTGAGCCCAGGCTGTGACTGCCTGTGCCAGTGTTCCCACATAGTCCCCAGCCCAGCCCCGTGGCCAGGACCTGTGCCAGCCATTGGGATTCAGCAGGTGGGGGATGCTCTTGCTCACCTGAGCCCCTGATGCAGGGATGGGATGCAGGGATGGGATGCTCTGGTCTCATTCGACTCCTGCCCCTCTGGCTCCCGCAGCAAACTGAGCCCACACCCGGCAGGAGCCTCGTATAGGGGATGAGGAAGAGGAAGAGCCACCCTATTAACCCCTGCCAGCCCAACCCCTGTCGGAAGGAGCCCACCCTGAGCCCACCCTGCCAGCGCGACCCCCCTCCACAGCCCTGCCCCTGCCCAGCACTAACCCTCCTCTTCCTGCACCTCCAGCTCACCTCTGCCAGCTCCCCTCCTCCTTCCACCTCCTTACGGGAACCTGGCCGGGATTTCGGGATCTGCGGCGGCGATCTCTGACTCCTCCCAGGCAGCACCGAGTCTCTCTGTCCCCCCCGCCCGCGGGGCGTCAGGAAGGGGACAGGGAAACCATGTCCACTCCAGCAGCTTCTCCTACACCCATTCCAAGATGCTGGGGCAGCTCAGGAGAAGGAGCCCACCACAGTCCCCTCCCCAGGATCCTGCCCTGGACGGCGACGGAGAAAGAGGGAGGAAAGGTCCTCCTGGCACCTTCTCCGGTGGTGATGAAAGGGTCAAATCCAGCCCCGAGCTGGCCGGTTCCTGCCTCTTCCCCCCGGGAAGGGCTGTAAATCGCAGGAAGCCACAATGGGCTGGAGCTGGCCCAGGGGTTATTTTTACCACTGCCCTCTTCCCTTCCCCAGGGCCGAGCGCTCCCACAGGGACAGCCCCGGCCCCCTCCATCCCCGGCTCCTGCCTGGGGGGCTGCGAACGTGGCATCGGAGCAGGAGGGGGGAAGGATGTGCTGCATCTCGAGCTGGGCTCCCAGCCCCTCGGAGTGGGGTCAGAGAAGCCTCCAGTTCTCCCTAGGGATCCCTCAGCTCCCCCATCCCTCTGGCAGCCAGTGTGGATGGAGCGCTGGGGCACAGCCCGGCCTGGGCTGATCGCAGGGACCGGGGAGGCTCCAGCAGGGACAAAGTCATGGCATTCAGTCCGGGACCCCCTGGATGAGCGGGGACCTGTCCCCCAGCACTGCTGTCCCCACCCCAGTTCCTTCCTGAGGAGCTGCTGCTCCGGAGCCAGTGCCGGGAACTGGGGCTGCATCCAGCACCTCCCAGTGCCAGGAAGGGGCTGGGGCCAGGACTCCTGTGCTGACGAAAACGGAGGCTCAGATGGAAGCTGAGCAGGATGAGAGGGGCCAGGGCTTGTGCAAGCTCTGTAGGCACCGGAAAAAATTCCCAGTGAAAGCAAGGAAGGGACAAACCACCTATTTTATTCTAATAAACCTGGAGAGGAGCAATGCAGGCAGAACTAGAGCTCTGTGTGCAGGATGAGGCTGCACAGGAGCAAATCCAGTGGAAGGCAGGGAATAGGATCAGGGTAAGAGATGGAGAAACTCATGGCACCCCTGGGATCTGCCCCCGGATTCCCATGTGGGAGAGGGGCAGCCAACAGGACCTTAATTTTAACTCCAGGCAACGTGAATCACTGTTTATTAGGAAGTGTTTTATTTTCCAAGGTGGAATCCCGGCAGCTGTTCTGGTAAAGCCACAAGTGAGTAAGAGCAGCCTTGAAATCACCTTCCTCTGGCAGATGTAACGTGTTTCTATGGGATGCTCTGACCAAATGCCTTCCCCAGAGTGATCACCCTCCTCTCTGACTCCCTGGACCACCTGCCAGGCACTTGCTGTTGAACTGTAATGCTTGGACAAAGCTGATTCCCTTTGGAAGACAAAAAGGGATGATTTGAGGGGCCCTTCCTGGCCCTTCAGCCACAGCTGGGGCCAGGTATGGAAACTTCCAGCCCTTGCAGTGGGTGAGAGAAGGCTGAGAAAGTCCTCAGAGGCCACGAGTCTCAGAGCACAGATCCTCCTTCCACAGTGTCCCACTCCTGATCAACCAGCCCTGCTCCCAGCACTGCTCCAATGGTTCCAGGGGACCAGAAGCCACTGTGACCCATTCAGTCCTTTTCAGATGCATTTTTCCTTTTAAAAACAATTAAAAAAAAATCACTTTTCAGCATGCCCAGGTGCAGCCAGGAATGCAGCACCTGGTAACCCAGCCATCTGTCTCTACTTGCCGGTTCCCTTTCACAACCCACAAAAGTCCCTCTGGCCCCAGGTCCATGCAAATGCCACCCCCTGGAGCACAGCCCAGGGAAGCTGGGAATGAGCCAGAGAGGGCTCAGGGTGCAGCTTTTCTTCAGGAGAGGGCAGGAGTGGAAGGCTTGTTAGGCAGGTTTAAAAATATCCAGGGTTCAAATGGGCACAAATAAATCTGAAACCAGCACCTAATCCGAGGCAGACATCCACATGTCGCTGCAAGTTGGAACTGAAGAGGGCCCAGGAGAGGCCATGGAGGCTCCTGTGGATGTTCATAACCCCCAGCAGGGCTCCAAAACCCACAGTGGGTGATGGCTGGTCAGTGCTGGGACCACAAGGACAGCCAGGAAAGAGATCAGGAAAGGGTAAGAGTTGAACATCTGGGCTGAGCCCTCCACCTGCTGCAAAGGTTTTTGGGTTGCATCCGTTTTTGTCTCAAATCTGAGAGTAAAGAGGCCTCTGAGCAGCTGCAGTTCCCACCAGGAGAGCACAAAGGAGTCTGGGATGGAAGCTGCCCCATGGACCTGCCAGCTCAGCCCCACGGCTCAGCCCAGACCCTCTGGCTGCTCCTTAGGGATTGCAGCCCTTAGGCAATTATCTGCTGCTTCAGGCACCCAAATAACCTGGAAATTCCTCTGGGAACAAAGGGGTTTAACAGGAACATGGCCTGGGCTGTGGCTCCTCTTGCAGTGATAAAATGGTGGTGCCCCTGCTCATCCTCAGGTCACTTGACATCTCCATGACCCTAAAAATGTGGTTTCAGGCTCCCCAAAAACGCTTCCAGAGCTCCTAAACAGCACTTTGCAGCAGCTCAGCCTTGTATTCCCACCTTCCCAACACTCCTCAGGCACTCTGAATGGTTTATGGCATTTACATCCCTCTGCCTTTATAAGGTTAAAGAGCAGAAATTGCCCCAGACCGAAAGGGAAGCCCAACAGCCCTGCCAGCACTGCCTGTTAAAGGTGGGGTTTAAGTGCTCCAAACTGGTCAAAGTTGGCGTTTAAATGCTCCAAACTTGTTCTCTGTGGGCCAACTCCTTCCTTTCACCGCACAAACCACCAGCAGGGATTCAAACCACGTTAGGGATCCGTACCCCACGGAGGGATTCGCAGGGTATGGGTGGAGCAAAGGGAAAAGCCACACAAACCACCGGCTCGTTTGTGCCACCCGCAGTCCAAAGGCCACCTGAGCATGTCGGGGGCAGGAGAAAAAAAAAGTTGTTTTCCTGAAGGGAGGGCACCTTTCCAGGGGGCGGGACAGCGGCCGGAGCTCCCCGGATGGGACTTTATCTCCCCCACAAAGCAACATCCGCCCTTTACGCCGCGGTTTGTGCCCGGGCCGAGGAAAGCTCAGCTTAAACCAAAGCAAAGCCCAAACGCCAACCAGGCGAGTTCCCAAAGCCCAGCCAAGCCCTGCCCCGGGAACTGGGATGGGCAGGTTGGGGCCCGAGGCCTCTGCGCTCTGCAGAACAGGGAAAACAAAGCAGAGGTTGGGTTTTTGGAGCCAGGAGGGAGCTTTAATTATATCTAATTTCTGCACCAGGGCAGTTCCTTGCAGATCTCCCCACCCTCTCCATGGACTAGATATATTTTAAGTATAGTTTATATAAATACATATATAATGTATACTTTATATATATATACACATAAGGTTTATTCTTCTTCATTTGGTGGGGAAGGAATTCAACCTGTGTCTATATTTAAAATCCCCACTCTTGCAACTAATCAGTGTGACCTTCTCCTTTAATTACGGTCTTTACCCCCTAATAAAAAACAACCTAAATCCCAAACCCCCTCTCTTGTGCCAGGCCTGCACTGACTTACTGATTCAACCTGCCAGGTGGGAATGTGCCCATTTCTGGCACCAGGATACACTGGAATCCACTGGTGCAGGGCACAGGGATGTCCGGGCTTGGGTTTGTTGCAGGGATAAGAAATGGCAAGAGAAACCAATTTACAGCATTTCCAGTCTGCACCGTTCCCACTCCCAGTCTGCAGAACCCTTTGTTCAGAGCACTGTTAATTAAAACATGCAAATGACTGCTATGCTTTTGTGCCATGTATAAGGAATGGTGTTTCCTCACCTTTATTCCACGTGAGAACAGCAGGAGCAGCACAGCCCTCAGCCAAGCCAGCACCTTCCACGAGCCCAGGATCACTCAGGGTATGACTGTGATGAAGCACAGAGGATGACCTTGTGCTGACTGGAATCATTCCCCCAGACAAAGTTCAAAAGCTTCATCGAAATTCAGATTTTATTTCAAAAACAGTCATGAACTTAATAAATTACACAATAATTTTCCTCATTATAAATTCTCCATAAAATATATTTTACAGTTTTTAAAGAAAAACGTGGCCAAAAACAACGAAAAAAAAAAATCTTTTCTAAGTGCTGAAAAGTATCTTGACTTTGTGTCACGCTGGTGAACGGCTCCGCAGCTGCTACAACAATTTGATTTATTTGTTTGTTTTTTTTCCTTAAAAAAACAAAGACCTCAGACAACAACAACAAAAAAATCAAAACAGAACACAGACCTCAAGGACTACCAGTGTCACCCAACAGCGAGGATAAGCACCATGAGAGGGATTTCAGGTACCCCCAACCTTTAAAGTGGCAATCAGTGCAAAGAAACGCTTTGGGAGTCAAAAAAAACAACACAACTCCTCAAAATTCCCTGTGCCATTCCCTTGTTTCTGCACTGCAGGCAGTGAAATATGTCCAGTGAAACACTTCAGAGGGGAATCAGAAGATTTACAGAGCACCTCAAAGGTGAGCAGAATTATTCTGCAGTGGATTCGTAACCTGCTTGAGTCTGACTTTTGGGTGGGCAGCACAGGAGGAAGTTTGCCATGTATTTTTACAAAGCTTAACGTGAAGAATTATAAACCCCCTTCAAGCTTTACTCACCCAATGACCCTGATGAGATGTGAGAACTGGGAAAACAGTGTTGGCACAGAAGCAAAGAGTGTTTGTCTGAGAATCGCTCCCTCAAATGATGAAGGGAAAGCAAATCACAAGAAATAAGGATTAAGGCCACCTGGGTGATGGCCAGCAGCTCATACAGCACCAGGTAAGAACCACGGGTGGTCTGTAAAGTCTCAGAAGTCTGGTCAAATCAGAAAAACAACAACAACAACAAAAATGGTATTTTGTTTATTCACACTCAGGCAGAATAAACACTGACTGACCAAACTGCTCTCCCAGCACTAAAAGGGAACAGTATCCAAGAACCAAGAAGGAAATGCTTGTGGCCCTTTTCAGGTAGGATTTGGGTGGGAGAGAAAAAAAAAAATTAAATTGAATTTATTAAGAAAACTGGCCTTTCCTGTAGCTTCAAAGGCAGTTTTAAGACTCTGCTTTTTCCAAAAGGTCAAACTGGATGGGAAAGGTCAGTCCTGCAGCCAAAAGAACAAAGTGTTGTGCTGTTACAAAGAGCCTCTGTCTGCTCTGCAGTGTCAGGTGGCCTCAGTGAAACCTCTCCCAGCGTATCAATCTGCTTCTGTGCAACAGGAGCTGGGGATAAGCAGCTTCCAACTGCTCCAGAGCTTTCCACCCTACCATCTGTGCTTTTAAATAAATATTACTTCTTTAAAAGGAGGAAATAATAATAATAATAATAATAATAATGAGAGAAAAAAAATAATCAGCCAAGGCTGCCACCTTTCACATACCTGTTACTGAGTTTTCTCCCCTGTTTGAGAACGAGTGGGTTCTACAGGACAAAGAGTCACCTCTGTGTCCTCTTCCCCACCGGGCTGGGGGCAGTGCCAGACAGGAAAAGGCCAGAACCAGTATTATTAGCTGGATTCAGTTAGTGGGAAAACTGTGCTGCCACCCTCTTTTGAAGAACCTTAAAATTATGCTGCTGGATTCCCTCATCCCTGTTTCCATAAAGTAAGGGCACAGTACTCTGCTGTTATAAATCCTCAAGGTGCTATTGGATTGTGGACACAAGAGCAGAGAGCAGATTAATTGATTAATAAAGTGTTTGATCACTAGAAGAAAGCAAAATCAAATGATCAGTGAACCATGCCAGCCCCTGACTGTACATTTTTAATTTGACTCCCTTGGTGATGAGCTCATGAAGCTCTAAGTGCCAAGCTCAGCCACTTCAGCACTTCAAAAACTGCTGGTCCCCTTGCATTGCTTTGTTTACAAAGTCAAGTCTTTGATAACATTAGATAACAAAAATAAATAATAAAGTTATTCAGGCCTGGAGAAGAAGGAATGCTTCTCATGCACCTTCTTCACCCCAGTTTTCTAGCAGACCCCAATCATTCAGACCCACAGCAAATAATTTAAGTGCCACACACTCACAGTCACTCATATACATAAATATATACACAGATTACATTACAAAGCCTGAAGATTTGCACTACCAGCATGCAAATCTTTTGGTTGTTTTTTTTTTTTTTCCATGAGAGTTCCTAATACTGACATAGGAAACTGGAATGTTTGAAATACCCCATGACACACTGCTGGAAATCAAGTCTTGGCTCTTACAACATCCCACTGCCAGTGCACACACAAAGGAACATCCTCACGTCTCCCACAGGCCCGCAACTCCTGGTACTTTACACACCAATGCAACGGCCAACTCAACATTCCTGCCGGGAAACTCAAAGAGAGATTCATTGGGGGAAAAAACTACACCCTGCAGGTGAGTTCAGGCCGGTTCCTCCCCCTGCCATGAAGCTGTACCGTGGGCTGGGCGAGGAGCGGCCGGTCACGTGTCCCAGCTGCTGTCTTTAAAGGCTATGTTGACTAATCTCAGCTCCAGCTCGAACGCATCCGGGCGGTCCTGCGGGTTGGCCGCCAGCATCTCCTTGATCAGCTGCTTCATCCGAGCGTTCATGGATTTCTTCTTCACGGGGATGAGCAGCTCCATCTTGGGGTTCTCCAGCAGCGCCTCCCCCACGGGGACGATGGCTGTCCCCTGCTTCACGTAACTCCCCAGGAGCTCCTTCTTGGTTTCCGTGTCTATGAAGGTGATTCTTTCCAGCATGGCCCAGATGATGATTCCCAGGGCGAAGATGTCTGCCTTGGCAGTGTAGTGTCCTTCCCACACCTCAGGGGCCATGTAGAAGTCGGTCCCGCAGGCAGTCGAGAGAAAACACTTATTTACGTTGACCGGTTCCTCGGGATTCTGTCCTGAGGCTGAACACACTTTGCTCAGCCCAAAATCAGCCACTTTCAGGGTAGGCTCCAAGTCACTGGCATCCGTCCTGCTCTGGGAGATCAGGATGTTGTCGGGTTTGAGATCGCGGTGGATGATCTGGTTTTTGTGCAGGAAGGCCAGAGCGCTGCTGAGCTGCAGCATGAAACTGGTGTTGGTCTTACGGTTGGGCTTTCGGGACAGCAGGTACTCGTTCATGTCTCCTCCGTCACAGAAATCCATTACAAACCAGAGGTAATAAGCACTTTTGGGGTCAAAGGCTATCTCTCCTTTTAGTGAGGTTTCTACAAGCTGCAACGAGGAAAGGAAATGTCATAACTACCTGATGATCGTGGGAATTTAAGGATATGATGGAAAAATGCATGAGACCTGGATCTTCGTGAAGGGGGGAAGTTTAGGTGAGATATACAGAAGGAATTCCTCCATGTGAGGGTGGGGAGGCCCTGGCACAGGTTGTCCAGAGAAGATGTGGCTGCCCAATCCCTGGAAGTGTCCCAGGCCAGGTTGGACAGGGCTTGGAGCAACCTGGGCTAGTGGAAGCACCTCAAGGTGTCCCTGTCCATGGCAGGGGGTGGAACAGGATGAGCTTTAAGGTTCCTTAAAACCCAAACCATTCTATGGTTGGTTGATCTTCCTCTCAACAATCCAGAGAGCAAGACATTGCAACAGGGGAAAAAAAAAAAAAAACAACTTTATGCAAAAATTTTTATGTAATAGGAAAAAAAAAAAAAATCACAATATATTTGCCAGCCTCCTCGTTTTCATCCGTGCAGAGCATATCAAGCTCACACTCCTGCCCAGCAGCAGAGCTCGACCCTGATAACAGTATTTTCAAAGATACTCAGTGGCCATTGCCCTCCCATCTGTCCCAGCTGGACAGTGTCCCACCCCGACAAAGCCTGTCCCACCCATTTTGCCAACAGCTTCCATGGATAAACAAAGTCTCACAAGTAACTCCACACAGCTGCATTCACCTCCTGCTTCCACGAGAGATTTTTTTAAGCCTGCTCTCCATTCCTTACACATTAATGAATTCCAGCAAGTTAACACAGGATCCCTGAACTCAGGAGAACACTAATCTCCAGGCACAGCTGAGCATGTAGTGCCTTTCCCACCATCATTATCCACAGGCTATTTTCTAGAAGACAAGTCTAGCAGCTGCTTCATACAAAAAGCAAAGCAAAACCAGCAATCAGTTTTACTAATCCTGTTTACACAGCTACATTGCCTCTTCAGCTCCTCTGAGGTGCCTCTTAGCAGGCTCTGCAAGGTAAGTCCTGCAATTATTTACGTTAGTAGTAAACCAAGGGATAATAAACCAAACTGGCTTTCAAAAATTAAGGTATGAGTTAATATTTAGGGAAGCATTTTGAAGTGCTTTAAAAAAGTGGCCTTTTCCATCCAAGGGCAAAATTGGTAGTAATTTATAGCTATCTTCCCACACCAACTCCAGACAGTAAATCCATGTTAGAACTAGAAAGTGACGTATTTAGGGTTTGTAGTCAGGAACAGTAAGATTAAGGTATCTCAGGAGAGCAGGGCATCTCCTCTGCCAAGTGAGCACCAACACAGCTCTGCCCTCCCCGGAGTCACAGAAGCTGCACTTGCATCTGTTCTGAGAGTTAAGACAACGAAATCCACTGTCCATGACAGCAGCAAAGCTCCACGAGACCAGGCTCGCTCAGGACTCACACCCTACAGATTTGGTTTGGCTGACACAAAGCATCTGCCCTAAAGCCCTTCAGGAGACACTGAAACCCCCTCCCCTGCTTCCTCACACGCAGCTCTGTAACATCACCGGGGACAGGAGGGGCCAAGCCCAGGGAGGGCTGACTGTCCTCACTTTAGCCCAGGCTGTTACAAAGTGACCCCAGTCACAGTCAGCTCCGCTCTGCCCTTTGCTCTTCTCTCTGGAGCAGGAAAACAATCCGTGGAGCTTGCACCAGGCACGGGCCAGGTCCATGTGCCGCCCTCCTCACGATCCAAACCAGTGCTCTGTGCGATCTGGAAGCTCTTTCCCACCTTGCAGTTCTGCCCTGGGGTTTTTTAAGCTCCTCCCTGCACATCTGCCCACACAATCCCTCACAGCTCCACTACCAACCAGGAAGGTAAAGCACTATTTTCTCCCACCCGAGCTGGTCGGTGTTGTTTTAGCCTAATCCCTTCATGAAAGCAAAATCAATGGCAACTCCCAAGGACAGGGAGTTCACAGAGCCAAGAATCCTCGTTCTCAGGCTCGGACAGCACCGGGCACAGCGGGAACTGAAGAGCTGTCAGCTGGATCTCCACCAACAAAAGGTCCACATCAGACATGCAGGAATGACAGTAAAAACTGACGTGATAAAAGCTGACCAGGGATAACACAAACACTGAGCAGGCTACTGACTTTTTAAACCAGAGAGACAAATTTCTGCAGCTTCTTGGCAAGGGAATTAATTAGAATATCTTTCAAAGTTTTTCTAGTGCTACTTATTCCCCAAAAGTACACATCTTTAAACTTAAAGGACACTTTCAGAGTGATATTTATTCCCTTATTTATCATGCCTTTACCACTGAGAGATTAGTAGTTATTCATCCAAAAACCCAAACAGCTCATGACATGCTACCAATTGCCTTATTGTTTCTGAAAGAATTTTGAGTGTTGGCTTCCTAAATCAAGACAGTGACTTCCTCTTCCAAGGACACCTGAGATGAAATTCCTCAGAGCTCTGTCCCAAGGTATCAGTGCATGTCTGCTCCTTAACCTGCTGCCAGGGGACACCACAGCCTGTAGCTCCCCTGGGTTTACCTGTGGGGCTTCCTCAAATTATCAAAGCAGATTTGCATTAAATACAGAACCTGGAGTCTTTTAGAGCAGCAGGGCTTCAAATCACAAGATACACATTAATTTTGGGGCGTCAGCAGTGCAAACAACACCCTCTCCTAACTGAGCACACCTCACAAACACCACCTTGGCTGCCCCACCTCCTTCCCCCCCAGCTGACACACCGCCATGAATTCCTTCCACCCCATTCCCTCGGCTTTCGTGTACCTGTAAATAAAGGGAGGAGCTGGAGCCATGGGACATCTTCTGCACCATGCCATCTTTCTGCAAGATGCACTCCTCCAGGTGAATGACGTTGGGATGCTGGCTCTTGATACTGCTAAGTGCCCAGAACTCCCGCAGAGCCAGTTCCACGTTCTCCGGCGCGTGGCACCGGATCTTTTTCACCGCGACCCGTGCCGAGGTCTTCCTGACGACTGCTTCGTACACCACACCATAACTGCCACGACCAACCTCCCGAATTAGATCGTACTTAGGCTGGCTACTCACCATCTTCAAGAGCAAAGGTTCTGGGGAAGGGGGAAAAACCCACAGAACTAAAACTTAGGAACAAGAACTGGGCTGTATTTTCCCCCCGTAAGGGGGTTTTGGCGTGGCAGCCTATCCAGACCCTGCCATGAACGCAGGGTTGGATTGCTAGAACGTTCCAGAAGCTACCCCATAAAACCTGCAGCTGTTGCCACGGACCAGGTAAAAGTGGAGTTACATCATTTTTTCACTAAGATTTCAAATACAGCCCAGTTTTCAAGGTGGCAACAGTTCAAACCTAGACTGGTATCGTGCCGAGACAGGACTATCGTGAACGTTCCTGCTCCTCTCCCTCTGTGTCTTCCATGAGCATCTGCGGGAATAACAGGAGGGTGTCATGCTCCCCATCCAGCCTGGAGAGCAGGAGGTTCCAGTTGAAGCCCGTGGTTGGGCAGTAACAGATTTAATTAACTGCTTTTTATGGAGGTGACTGCGGGAGTAAATGTTTCTGTTATAATTAAGCTCTTTTACTAAGAAAAGAGGGAACTTGGATCGCTCCCCATTTATGTTTTTAATGTAACTGATTTTTCATCGAGTCTCCCCAGCAGGAGGAATCTACAGTTACACAAAGTTAAAAAGGGTAACTGATTGCAGAAGTTTGTACCCAGCATCTAACTTTCACTTTTGCTCAACAGAGCAAAGCAAACCAGTTCAGATATTGCTCTAAAAGTAAAACAAGAGACACACACACACACACATAGAGAAAAAAAAAAAAAAGCCACCAAACCCTGCTACAGATTTATGACCCTCCCTGCACACTTCCCTGCAAGATTACAAACCAAACACCAACACCACCTTCACACAACCAAACCAAAACGGGACACTGACTATAGACAGGAATAAATTAAAAAAAAATAAAGCCTGGCCGGCCAAGGATCACTGGTCAAACAGAACAAAACGCAAAACCAAAAAATAAATAAATAAAATCACACTAATAGATCAGAACTAAAATAGCTTTAAGACTGCCAGTGATAAAGGTAATTCTCTTTATGTGAGTAAACCAGGCAATAACGACCACACTGAAACAGCCTGTTATTAGTAGGAAGCTTTCAAGTATTTCCACTGCTTTAGGTATCATTTTTTTTTTTTTAAGAAAAAAAAAAGGAAAAAAAAAAAAGAAAAAGAGAGAGAAAAAAGGTATCATCAGTCTCAGGCAATTGCTACACAGATATTTTAACCTTCCAGCAAAGCTCTGCGATGCACATTTGTCAAAACAACCCCCGAGGAAAACACAGTTACTCGAACACGGTCACCCCGGGTTCAAAGCTGCAAACGCCCCCCTGTCACCGAGCCCAGCCCCGGGGCTCCTCCTGCCCTCGCTCCTGCGGGGGGGAAGCGCCTCGTTAGCGCCGTAATGGTGGAATAATATAAATAACTAAGTGATAGAAGTGATATAAATGATATAAGTGTCCCCCCGCTGCCCGGGGCGGCCACACTGGGCCGGCGCTCCCGCTCGCTCCTGAGGGCCCGGGAAGCGCCGCCCGCCTCGTTAACGGCGATAATTATGGAATAATACAAATATTATAACTGATGTAGATAATATAAATTATATGAACGGCATAAATAACGTAAGTGCCCCCCTCCTGCTCGCGGCGGCCGCACCTGCGGTCGTGAGGGGAATCACCGGGGGTACCGCTGCCGGCCCGCCGGGCCCTGCCCGCCGCAGCGCGGCTACTGGGCCCCTCGCGCCCGCAGCGCGGATCCCGCCCCGCTGTGATCCCCGCCGGGGGATGTGGGGCCGCCCGGACCCGCCGCCCCCGAGCCGGGTCGGGCCGGGGGGAGCCGCGTTACCTCAGCGCCGCCGCCGCGGCCCAGCCGCCATCTTAGGGCTGCGCTCCCTCCCCTCAGCGCTGGCCACGCCCACGCCCGCCACGCCCACCAATGATCACGCCCATCCCTCCGCCACCGACCCCTTCGATTGGTTAGCGGGGAGAGGGGGCGGGGAGAGGGAAGAGGTGGGCGGGGCCCAGCGTGCGAGGGGACGCGCGGTCCTAGTGCCCCCCACCCGGCTCGTCCCACTCCCATTAATTTATTAATTATATTTATTAAATATTATTATTATTATTAGAAGTGTTATCATTATGTTTATGAAATATTTATTAAATATTTGATAAATTATTTATAATTTTATTCTTGTATATGATTCCCCCCCTTTATTAATTAGGGAGAAGTCCTTCCCTGAGAGGGCACTGAGGCCCTGGCACAGGTTACCCAGAGAAGCTGTGGCTGCCCCATCCCTGGAAGTGTCCAAGGCCAGGTTGGATTGGGCTCTGAGCAACCTGGGCTAGTGGAAGGTGTCCCTGCCCATGACAGGGCGTGGAACGAGGTGATCTTTAAGGTCCTTTCCAGCCCAAACCATTCCAGAATTCTGTGATTCATTGTTTGGCATCCAGAAAAAATCAGTACAGCCTCTCTTGCCCTTGTTTGCGGTCTGGCTTTGTGTGACAGTGACACAAGAGCTGTTGCCCCTTTCTGTGCCCCTCTTCCTCCACAGGCTGCAGGGCTGGAGGTGCCCCCCCTGCCCAGGAGCTGGGGGGCACAGGGCTCCTGTCATGGCCCCTGCTGTCTCCTCAACCATTGCTCAGCCACCGCAGGACCATTTTGGGAGGAGCCAGGGCCACCTACAGCTTGGAGCCCTGCAGAGACAAGCAGAGGGAGATAAGTCCCACAATGGGCTCTCCAGGGTTAATTGGGAAGGAGCCCGGGGGTGATTAGTGCCCTGGGTCCTGCCTAAGCTGCCCCAAGCCAATTAGGGGCCAACAAGCCCCTTGTGGGTTTGGAAAGCTGCTTAGGGCATTACAACCCCTCCATTCCTGTGAATCTCCTTAATCGAGTCCAGAAGCAATTAGTTAATCAATGTCACCCCTGCACAGGGGCATGTCGTGGGTGCACATCTGAGTGTCCCACTCCCAGTGTCTGCCCCCCCTGCTGCCCTCCCCCGTGCCCAGCCAGCCCCGCTCCTGTGCCAGCGTCTCGCTGGAAGGGCCCCAAGTGCCAAAACAGGGACAGTTTTGCAAGATGTGCTTGGCCAGTCCCAGCACAGTCACTTGCTGGACATGTGAGCCGGTCCGGAAGGAGCACCCAAAACAGCTGAGGGGCTGCCAGGCTGGGGGAGGAACGGGCTCTGTGTACCAAGACACCATGTGCCCGGGCACTTGTGTACCCATGGGCCTGTGTGCCTGTGTATTCATGTACCTGTGTAACCATGTACCTCTATTCCTGTGCATCCATGCACCTGTGTATCCATGTACCTGTGCATCCATATACCTGTGCATCCATGTGTCTGTGTATTCATGTGCCTGGGCATCCATGTACCTCTGTGCCTGTGCATCCATATACCTGTGCATCCATGTACTTATGTATCTGTGTACCTGTGTATCCATGTACCTGTGTATCCATGTACCTCTGTATCCATGTACCTCTGTATCCATGTACCTGTGTGCCTGTGCATCCATATGCCTGGGCACCCCTGTGCCTGTGTATCCATGTACTTGTGTATCTGTGTACTTGTGTACCTGTGTACCTGTGTGTCCATGTACCTCTGTATCCATGTATTTGTGTGCCTGTGCATCCATGTACCTGTGTATCCATGTACTTGTGTATCCATGTACTCATGTGCCTGTGCATCCATGTATCTGTTCATCATGTACCTGTGCATCCACGTACCTGTGTATTTATGTGCCTGTGCATCCATGTACCTGTGTGCCCACATGCACCCATCCACCCATCCACCCGTGCCCCTCTGCACTCATGTATCTCCCACACCCAAGCATCCCTGCACATCCCCATCCATGTACCCTGGCACCCACGTACTCCTACACCTGTGCAACCCCTTACCCCTGCACCCACCTCGTCCCCCCCAGTGTGACCCATGGGGGACAGGGATAGAATTACCCCTCTCCTGGTGCAGCTGCCTGAGGTGACAGGTCTCCCTGTGGCCGGGCACCGGCTCTTGACCTGATACCCTGTTTATGGCCACACCAGCTGGGCACTGTGTGCCGGGGCTGTTCTCAGAGTGTGCTCACCCGCTGACCCCTTTTCTGGGTCAGGTTTTGAAACCCAGCAGAGGAGCCAGTTGGGTCACGGCCATGACATCAGCACAGGGAGCAGCCCAAGCAGCCCCCCCTGCATCTGGGGACACAGAGGACATCCCTAATCCTTGCTTAGAGAGGGGACACCCTGGTGCATATGCCAGGCATGGGGGCTGTGTCTCCCTGGAGCTGCCTCTCGCCTCCAAGCACATGGGGACCCACTGGTGAGGCACTTGTTTTCTCCCCAGAAGTGGTCACATTTTAGGGTGGGCAAAGAGAGATGCTCTATATAAGCCACCCCCACTGCGACTAACCCAGCTCTGCCTCATTCCTGGCACCATCAAAATGTCCTAACAATGATGGGGCTGGTTTTTTGCCCCTCCTTGCCCCCACCTCGATGCTGTTTTGGGGTGCAGCCATGGATCTGGCCATGCTGTCCCCGCGCTGTGCAACCCTTTGGCCCCGGGGCAGAGCCCGGCCCTGTTTACTCCCCTGCTCTGGTTGAGGCATGTCCACGGCACGGGCGGGCAGGGCCTCCTGGACAGCCTGTCCCCATCTTGTTTACCACCACCAGCTCCCCTATGGCTCACCACCGTGTGACAGGTGCTGCTTCCTCGGACACCCGACGCCGTGTCGGGATTTGGATCCGCGTGACCAGGGAGCGACTTATAAATAGCGGGACGAGGGGTGACGGCAGCCGAGAGCGGTGAGAGGAGCGCGCTGACAAGGCAATGGATTTCCAAGCAGGCATCCTGCAGGATGGCAGCCCCATGGAGAGCCTGGAGAAGCAGCTCATCTGCCCCATCTGCCTGGAGATGTTCAGCAAGCCGGTGGTGATCCTGCCCTGCCAGCACAACCTGTGCCGCAAGTGTGCCAACGACGTCTTCCAGGTGAGACGAGGGTCCCCTGCGCCCGTTCCATCCCCCTACCCGGGCTGGAGGTTGTCAGGGTGGTCGTGGTGCTGGTCGGAGACACTGATGTTGTTCATCTCCCCCTCCCAGGCTGCCAATCCGTACTGGCAGAGCCGGGGCAGTCTGATTTCGGGGGGCCGGTTCCGGTGCCCGTCGTGCCGCCACGAGGTGCTGCTGGACCGTCACGGGGTCTATGGGCTGCAGAGGAACCTGCTGGTGGAGAACATCATTGACATCTACAAGCAGGAGTGCTCCAGGTAGGCACAGGTGGACGTGGCTGACTGGGACACGGGGATATGGGGATGTGGGGATGCAGGGATGCCCCTCTCCCGTGCCCCAGCACCATCCCTGAGACCACAGGAGACTGAGAAATTGGGAGGTTTTCTGCTGGCTCAGTGGTCCCTGATTCAGATCTTCTTCTGACCCAAATCTTCCCCCCTTGACCAAAATTTTCCTCCTGTCTCAAATCTTCTTCTCCTGACTTAAAACTTCCTTCCCTGACCCGAATCTTTCTCCCCCAGTCCAATTCTCTCCCCTGTCCAGAGCAGTTTGTGTCTCTGGGCAGCTCAGGGGGATGGTGGGTCCCTGGGGGGGGTGGTAACAGTAGAGCAGGTCCTGTTTACCCCCGAAATGCTCTTGTTGGAGTGTTGGCTGTGAGATAAGAGGTGTGGGGGACAAATCCAGGCTCTGCTCATGACAGCAGGCACTGAAGCTGATAAGAGGAAGAAGGACAGTTTGGGGGGGCAAACATGAAGCTGGAGGGGGGACAGGGGGGTCACAGGTTCTCGAGGCAGAGCAGTGGCACTGGCCAAATTCCCTGAACTGCTGTAAATATTGTGTGAGAGCCATGGGGACAGGGACGATGGCACGTGGCAGGTGTCAGCAGACGCTGGGGGGGCTCGGGGGGCCCAGCCCTGTCTTTGCTTCAGAGGGTTGGCTTGTCCCCATGTCCCTCCTTGCTGTAGACGGGATGATTTGGCTGCAGCCCCCGTCTGGGACCTCCCGGGGGTTTCTGGGAGCCCCCACTCTGGTCACGCGATGGGTGACAATAAATCCGGGCAGCACTGGGCTAAATTTAGGTCCTTGTGCAGCGTCCCTGGAGCGCAGCCCGGAGCCCCCCCGCCCCCAGTGCCAACCACTGCCATGCCCAGGGACACAGGGCTTTGAAATGGGACTTACTGGGCTCGGGGCTTACCGAGGCACAGAGTTTGGTGGCTCCTAAAGGGAGCGAGTGTGGGATTATGGCAGGATCTGGTCTTTTTCCAGAGGACTTGATTTTGGGGTGACCGCGCAGCACCAGCGGGGTGTCGCTGCAGTGGGGGTGATGCTGCAACGGGACATCATCGCGGCAGGGATGCCCCTGCAGTGGGGACATCACCCCCACGGGGTCACATCACCGTGACAGGGATGTCACTGTGGCTGTGCCGCTCTCTCCAGCAGGCCACTGAAAAAGGGGGAGCACCCCATGTGCAAGGAGCACGAGGACGAGCGGATCAACATCTACTGCGTCACCTGCGAGGTCCCCACCTGCTCCATGTGCAAAGTCTTCGGTGCCCACAAGGACTGCGAGGTTGCCCCTCTGCAAACCGTCTTCCAGGGCCAGAAGGTGACGAGGGGGGGACGCGAGGGGGGGCTGTGGGTGACACGGCTGGTCCTGGGGCGATGTGCTGAGCTAGGACAGTCACAAATAACACTGGGATTGGCTCACAGGGTATTAATAGCCCCCCGGGTGACTTCGCCCAGGAGACAGACTATATTTAGAGCAGCTGTGGTTTGTGGGGGATGTGGGGGAGCAGAGCTGGGGACAAGCAATGCCCAGCCCGTCCCCATGCTGGGATGGGGGAAGTCCTCAACCCTGCAGGAGTTAAAGCTGTTTGTGTCTGTCCCTCCACAGACTGAGCTGAACAACTGCATCTCCATGCTGGTGGCAGGGAATGACCGGATCCAGACCATCATCTCCCAGCTGGAGGACTCGTGCCAGAGCACCGAGGTGAGGGAAGAGGGGAAAAGGAACCCCCCAAACACCCGGGGATGAAACATCAGCCGGGGATGGCCGGGAGGGAGCTGGAGCCCACGGAGCAGGGAAGCCCTGCGGGTGCTGCTGGTGCTGAAGGGACACACAGGTGGCATCCTTTTGTCCCCCTCTCCCCACAGGAGAACAGTGAGGCGGCCAAGCGGGAGCTGTGCGCTCGCTTCGACGCCTTGGCAGCGCTGCTGGAGGAGAAGAAGTCGGAGCTGCTGCAGCGCATCTCCCAGGAGCAGGGAGAAAAGACAGCCTTCATCCAGAGCCTCATCTGCCAGTACAAGGAGCAGCTGGAGAAGTCAAGCCGGCTGGTGGAAACGGCCATCCAGGCAGCCGAGGAGACCGGGGGGGCTGCCTTCCTCATGGTGAGACCCCCAGATTTTTCCCTCCCTGCTGGTGCCCACATGGGGTCCTACTGTCGAGGACATCCTGGTGGCTCTCTTGTGGCTTCACTCATCTCCTTCTCCTTCTCCTTCTTCTCCTTCTCCTGCTCTGTCTCTCTCCACACAGAATGCAAAGCAGCTCATCAAAACGTAAGTGCTCAAACTGGGGAAAATCCAGTGATCCCAGCCCCACAGATGGGCAGGATTTGGCCACGGGGCTTTGCCAGTGGGGGGTTTGCCCCGATCCCCCCACCCTGGCATCCCATGGTCCTCCAGCTTGGCGAGGGGACAGGGACACACATATCCATGCTTTCCCTGCCCAGGATCGTGGAGGCCTCCAAGGGTGGTCGTCTGGAGAAGATTCAGCAGGGATATGAGAGCATGGATGCCTTCTCCGTGAGCCTGGACCACCTCACTGACGCCGTCCGTGCCTTGGACTTCGACCCCGGTAATTCAGCCCCTGACCCCCTGACACCCCTTTACCAACTCCCACCAACCCAGTGACACCCATCGCATCTCCTGGTGGCTCCTGGTGACATTTGGTGGCTTGTTTGCAGCAGAGGAAGACGAGGAATACTTTGATGGGGAGGAGGAAGAGGTGGAGGAGGACACAGCGCCCGAGAGGACAGTGATGGGTAAGGAGCCAAGCCCACCCCTCTGGGACCCTCAACCCCTGGGGGAGCTTTGGGGGGCTTGGATTCCCCTTGACCCTCCTACCCTCTTCCCTGGCAGCTTCCCAGTAGCCACAGTGATGTTGCCAGCATGGGAGAAACGCCGTGGGCACAGGATGTCCGGCGGTGGATTCGGGATTGGGGGGGGACACAGCGCAGGGACCGGCAGCCCGGAGAGCCGGCGCCTGCTCCAGCACAGGACACTTTTCCATACGGGTGCAAACGGGACAATTCCGCACGTTTTGTAATTTTCCTTGGGGTTTTTTTTGTATATAATTGTCACGGATTTGAAATTTGTGTATTTTGTAAAGAAAAAAAAAACTGGTGGTTCGGGTGGTTATTTCTTCCTCGCCTCTCCCGTCTTGGCTCGTGGGTGGGTTTGCCAGGATGGTGCTATCACTGGTGACCCTGCCAGGTCTTGGCGTGGCAGAGGGACACCTCCAATCCAACTCTTAATTTCCAGCCTCGTTAGCACCTCTGGCAGCGCTGGCACGCAGGCCTGGCCTCCTGCCTGGGGATATAACAGGTCAGCACCCCGCAGGATTTATCTCCTGGTGATGAGATGTGCTTGCCTGGGGTTGGAAATGTGGCACAGAGAGGCCTGAGGATGCTCCAGGCTGTGCCAGTCCCCAAAATGGGGATGGTCTTGGCATCGAGCTGCTGTTTTGCTGCTGGCTGAGTTCACACAAGTGCAAAAATACACCTTGAATGCAAAAATACACCATAAACGCAAAAATACACCATAGATGCTTTTCTCCTGAAAAAAAATAAAAGCCTGGCTCAGCAGGAGCCAAGGGGAAACTGAGGCAGGGCCCGCAGCAGTGCCCCGGGCTGAGTCACAATTGCAATTAGCCCCAGGGCAATTAGTGCTGCTCGCCCAGAGCAGGGGGGCAGGAGTCGCTGCTGGGGGCGGGTCTGGCTCCATCCATCACATGGTTGCTCCGCAGCTGGATCTAAACTGGGGGCGTTCCGAGGGCTCCCCAAGGGAGGGGTGTCACCAGGAGCCTTCTGGGGGGGGGACATGGGGATGTTCCATCCCCCCCCCCCCACCTCGGGGGCTGCATCCACGCCCTGGTGTGCAGCTCCTTGGGGGTGCTATGGGGGGGTCGCAGAGGAATCTCCCCCTCCAGGTGCCGGGTGAGGGGGCCCACCCCGGGTCAAGGCGGCGGCGGGCGCTTTGCAGCCGGCTTGGCTGTCCCTCCTCCAGCCGGGATTTGCACACGAATCCCGGCGCTCCACACGATCCGAGGCCACCGGCTGCCACCAGCGCCGGCCACACGCCGGGGTCACCCGCCCCGAGCCCCCCGCCCCGGAGGAGGATGGCAGCCGGCGAGGAGAAACGGCACCTCCTGAGCGAGGGCGCAGCCGGGTAGGGGGGTACCCGGCGGGGCTGGGGATGTTGGGTCCCTCTTCCCTGTGGAGCTCCAAAGCGGGGTCTCCTGGAGTCACCTGGCCAGGGAAGGGGCGAGGGGAGGGGCATTCAGGGTCTAAGCCCCTCCCCAAAATGCCCCCCGGGTCCCCAACCACCCCTTTGCCCGGCAGGTCCTACGTGGGGGCTGAGCAAAAGAACGGGCACAACTCGGTGCGGGGACAGGCGCCCGCCCTGGAGCTGGGGACACGGCGTGGCCAGCACTGCCACACCCGGGGGCCCGACGGCCACCCCGGGCAGCAGCAGCGGGCGCGCAGGAAGCTCTACCTGGCCGCTGGCATCTGCCTCGTCTTCATGGTGGGGGAAGCCGTGGGTGAGTGGTGGGTCCGGGGTCCGGGGGTTTGGTCCCTGTGAGATCACCCTGAGTGGGTGCCCGCAGCCCCTCTTGTCCTGATTCCCTGCTGTGGGTGCAGGCAGGGGTCCCTGTGGGTTTTCAGTGGGTCAAAACACACAGTGGGGCCCCCACCGTGGCATGGGGTGAGCTGGCCTGTGCCTGCCTCGGGGTGGGATGCCACCCCAATGTCCCCACTGATGTCCCCTCTCCGCAGGGGGGTACCTGGCACACAGCCTGGCCATCCTGACGGACGCAGCTCACCTCCTGACAGACTTTGCCAGCATCATGATCAGCCTCTTTGCACTCTGGGTGTCTTCACGCCCACCCACAAAAACCATGAACTTCGGCTGGCACCGGGCAGGTAACAGGGTGGCACCACCATCCAGCTCCCGGGAACCCCAGGGAGCACTCAGAGCATCCCAGGGTGCTCTGCCCATAAGGACAGGGTGCTGGGTGCCCATCCCACACCCCGATGCTGCTGGGGAGCCCGGAAGGGAGCTCAGGTTTGGCACAGTGGCAAAGCAACAATGTGGGGTGGGGGGTCTCTCCACAGAGATCCTGGGGGCCCTGCTCTCCGTGCTCTCCATCTGGGTGGTCACGGGGGTCCTGGTCTACCTGGCAGCCCAGCGCCTGCTCTCAGGTGACTACGACATTGAGGGTGGGGTCATGCTCATCACCTCCGCCTGCGCCGTGGCCGTCAACATCGTGTACGTGTGGCCAGCTGGCTCCTGTCCTCCCTGGGTGTCCCCTCCCTGTGTCTGGTGGCCCCTGGGGGTGTTACCACTGTCCTGCCCGCAGGATGGGGTTGGCTCTGCACCAGACAGGGCACGGGCACAGCCACGGGGCAGCCGGTGAGCAGCCCAGTGCCAGCGTCCGCGCCGCCTTCGTCCACGTCGTGGGAGACCTGCTGCAGAGTGTTGGTGTCCTCATCGCGTCCTACATCATCTTCTTCAAGGTCTGGGTGTTACTGGGGGCAAAGAGGATGCTTGGGGACATGGAGGCAGCAGCTTCAGCCAGCCCTGGCCAGACAGAGGGGTGAGACGGAGACAGAGGGGTCTCTGTCTCTGACAGTCTCTGTCTCTCTCTCTGACGGAGACATAGGGGTGAGACTGTGTCCCCACATAGGGGTGAGACTGTCCCCTGCTTGCTGGTGCTGCTGGGGGTTTGGGGTGAGGTGATGTTTCCAGGGAGGCCTCACCCTCTCCCACCCTCTCCAGCCCAATTACAAGTTCGTGGATCCCATCTGCACCTTCCTCTTCTCCGTGCTGGTGCTGGGGACGACGCTGACCATCCTGCGCGACGTCCTCCTCGTCCTCATGGAAGGTGGGGACCCACCGGGAGGGGGGGTCTGGGCCGTGGGGTCACCCATGGGTGCCGTGGTCCCCCTCCCTGCAGCACCCATGGCTCTCCCTCCCCAGGGACCCCCAAAGGGATGGATTTCAACGCGGTGCGGGAGACGCTGCTGGCGGTGCGGGGGGTGGAGGCCGTGCACAGCCTCCACATCTGGGCGCTGACGGCAGCACAGCCCCTGCTCTCGGTGCACATCGCCATCAGTGAGTATCCCAAGGGGGGGTCAGGGGTCACCCACACCCCCACATCCCTTCCCTTTCCATCCCAACACAGGGTGGGGGACGGGGTTCACCCACACCCCCACAGCCCGTCCCTCTCTCCCCGCAGACGCGGCTGCCAGCGCGCAGGAGGTGCTGGAGGAGGCCAGCTCCCGGCTGCAGGGCACCTTCCACTTCCACACCACCACCATCCAGGTGGAGAGCTACTCCGAGGAGATGAGGGACTGCCGGGAATGCCAGCCCCCCCGCGACTGACTCCTCTGCTGGCTTCCCAGGGGAAACTTCTTATGTGTGGAAAATAAAGCAGAGCACAGGGGTGTTGGGTCTGGTATCAGGGTGTTATCTCTGGTATCTGTAGGAACCAAGGGCAGACCCAGGGCTGTGGAAGCCGGAGGGCAGCAGCTGTTGGAAGCCAGCAGCCTTAATATTCCCTATTTCTATTCAGCTGGGGGGCAAGGCAGCTAAAACACACCTTTTCCCTTCTCCAAGGAGCGCTGTGAGGCAGTGGGGTGCTGGAGTGCCTGGTGCTGTGGGTGGACCCATCCCAGCTGGGGGAAGGAGGACACACTGGCCTTGCTCTCGCCTCTTATCACTCCTCTGTTTGCCCTCAGGAAGGTGAAGGACTCGCCCTCCCCGCGGGGCTGGGGGAGCTGTATGTGCAGCCAGGAGCTGCCCGGGTTATTCCCAAGGTGCCAAGTGCATAAGCAATGGTGCACTCAAACACCAGTGCTCCCAGTGCTCCCGCATTCTACAGCCACAGACTCTGCCTCTCCATCCTCCTTTATTGCACTGGTAAAACCCAATAACGAGTAAAACCCCGTTAGCAGCAGCAACCACCTGCTCCCAGAGGGCTCCGTGCACCGGGAGCAGGGCACCCAGAGCAGCCTGGCAGCCCTCAGGGTTTCTCCAAGCGTGGGTATTTCTTGCGCAGGACGGAGACCTGGTCCTTGAAGAGGACGGGGTCGAGGCGCAGCTGGGAGGACACCAGGGGCATGTAGCCAAACCAGTCCACCAGCTGGTTGAGGCAGTCCTGCCGCTGGGAGAAACGCCGGCTGCCAACCGCCCCCGCCGTGCCCTTCACCTTGGCAGCAGGACAGCGCGGGGGGTGAGGGGCTGCACTCCCCGCTCGGGGGGGTCCCCACATCCCCGCCCATGTACCCTACCTGCTGGGGCACCGTGTCCTTGTGCTGCTTCCTCTGGGCGACCTTGACGGGGGGCAGCTTGGTGACGGCGGCCACCAGGGCGTTCATCAGGATGTCCTCGCAGGCGGCCAGGCCGTCCACCAGCTCCCGCAGCCCCGCCGGCAGGTACTCAGTGAAGAGGCTGTGGTAGTACCTGGGGAGGGGGCGAGGTGGGGGGCAGGATGTGGCCCAATTCCCCGGCCCATCAGCCCCTCCCCGGGCGGGTACCTGTGGTAGAAGGCGGCGGCGGTGAGGACGATGGAGAGCTCGTTGGTCCATTTGGAGGTGTAGCCCCAGCGCCCCTGCTCGGGGTCCCAGAAGTGGCTCAGGGCGGGGAAGCCCACGATACGCTCGGGGAAGCTGCGCCACACCGCGAAGGCAAAGTCCACCTGGCACGGGGTGGGGGGACGGTGTCACCCACTGTGGGTCACCCACCGCCACCCCTGCCTTCTCCCAGAGGGTATGGGGACATGGGGACAGCAGGCACTGCTCCCGCCAGCCCCGTGAGCATCTGAAGGACCAGGGACCGTGGTGCCCACGGCCTCACCTCGCTGGTTGAGAGGCTGGTGTGCTCATCCAGGCTCAGCACTGCGTCCGTCTGGATGGCCGTGTAGGGGAAGAAGCGGTCGCTGGGCTATGAAGGGGGCAAAGGCAGGTTGGGCTGTGCCATGGGGTGGGAGTCCCAGCTCCCTGCCCCCGTTCTGGCTCCCTGCCTTACGTCCCAGCTCCTCTCACCTTCCTCCTGCCCTGGATGATGGTTAGAGGCACAGTGGTCTGGGGCCATTTCCCGCTCGGTGGTGGTGGTTTCTCGCAGCTCCACAGCACCAGGATCTGCAGGGGGGAGGACAGGTGTGTCTGCTCATCCCAAAACCACCTCGTGGCAGTTTGGACCAGGATAAACCCCCAGGTGGCCCCACCTCCACCCCGGGGGGCTGGGGATACAGCTCTGCCCACCCAAGGGTAACATCAGCCACCCCCTCCGACCCCTAAACCCATCCATTTGCTTCCCAACCCATGGGACCCTGCCCCATCCCTCCTGCTGGATCCCTGGGAGCTGCACCAGGTAGCGCAGGGCTCAGCTCTTCCCACCTGGGCACAATATTGGGATCCAGAGACAGCTTGGATGAGCCTGAGGATGGGCTGGGAGAGGGGACCCCCTTGTGAGATGACCCGGATGAAAGCTGTAAACTTCTCGGAGGGGCTGGAGCCTGAAAAAAGGGTGTGAGAGAAGACAAGATGTTGTGGCATGCACTGAGTTTGCCGTGCTCAGCAGGGGACAGGTGGGGTCCTACCGTGCTGCAGGTAGTAGAAGGGAAAATCCCCGGGGTGGGTGGAGAAGTCGGGCAGGACCAGGAGCCCCCCGGGCAGCGTGTTCCAGAGGAAGCGGGAGCGGGAACGGTGCGGAGACAGACGGTCCTTGATGATCTGCCAGAGGCCGGAGTGATGCTCCCAGCACCCTGGTTGTGACCCCGGGAGCTACGAGGGGAAGTTTGGGGTGGGGGCCTCACCTCCAGCGTGGTGTGCACGATCTTGTCCACAGAGGAGAAGTATGCATCCCACAGGAACTGGGTCTGCTGCTGGAAAGCCAGCACACGCTCCGGGTGGATGCAGCGAATGGCAGAAGGGATCTGTGAAGGCAGGGGGGAGCTGGTTTCTCCCTGGTTTCTCCTCTCAGCACCACCCAGCCCCCCAGCAGGGCTCCCCCTGACCCCAGGCAAGGATGCTGTGCCACCACTCCACTGTGGTGCTGCATCTCCTCTCTCTGGAGCAGGATGTGGCCCAGGACCTCCAAGGGTTTGAGTCCGGGATGGGTCTTGGTCACCCCCCAAGATGAACAATGCCCCAGGGCTGCAGATGGAATGGGACCCCCATTCCAAGCTGGATGAGACTCTCCTGCATCCATCTACATGAGAGCTGCCAGACTTGGCCACAGAGGTTTCACCCCTGGACTTGGCTGAGGGCTCCACCACCACTGAAATTAAGATTTGGGGTCCCCTGTGCCCTTTTGGGGCAGGATCCAGCCACGGTACCTGCAGCAGGAGCCTCTCACTGCCCACGACAGCAGCTTTGCCCCAGTCGATGGCCTCGGCGAAGGGCAGCTCCCAGCCGTCACTCAGCAGCACGGGGATGCAGGCGGCCTGTGGTGGGACCCCACAGGGCTGGGACAGAGCCCCTTGGACCCCAAGAAGGGGGTCCCCTGTCCCCCTGCCCACCCTGTACCTGCAGAGCCTCCAGGAAGCGGAAGGAGCCCAAGCGCCTGCCCCGGGGCACGATGCAGAAGGTGGAGTTGTGCAGCAGCTCCTGGTAGTCGAACCTGGGATGGGAGGTGGGGTGGGAGTCAGGAATGACCCCCAGTCCCAATCCATGAGCCTTCTGGGGGTCTCACTTGCACCTGGAGGGTGTGTGTGACCAGCCCAGGGCAGCGTTAGGACTGACTGGGGCTGATTTTGGCTCTGAATATCTCCGGCCCCACGGGGCTGATGGAGCAGACTTGCCCTGGGTGATGTGCCACCCTTAACAGGTGGGGGATCAGGATAGGACCCCGGTGCCTTCAAAGGCATGACCCTGCTCCCCCACCCTCTGGTAATGAAACCCCAGGCAAAGCCACCACCCGAACCCCCAAGCCCGAAACTGCGGCGACTCCTCTGCCGTGCCCGGACTTGCCGGGCAGGACCAGCCCTGCCTGCCCTGGCAGCGTTCGGAGGGGCCAGAGGGTGTAGCCGGCGTGGCCCCCTCAGGTCAGGCTTGCCCGTGGGGCTATGAAAGCCCCTTCTGTGCGGTGGTGGGGAGAGGCACGTCCGCTGCCGGGTCCCTGCGACCGCGCCGGAAAATCCAATATTGACTCTAGGTCGGGACAGACCCCGTCTGTTCCTGCCTGCGGGGAGGGAGGGACGGAGCAGCCAGGTCCTGGATGGGCTGGGGGGGATGTGCGTGGTCCAGCTGCGGGCGTGGGAGACCAAAGAGCTCCTTGAAGAGTGCTGGTCCCCAGGAGGAAGGGTCTCCCTGCAGTGGGAACGTGGTGCCGGTGCCAGCCTGGGAGTTGAGGATGTGTCCCCTCACAGTGCTGGAGCACCCTGGGGCATCCCGGCACTCTGGGATGTGGGAAATCAGCCCCAATGCCAAGGCACAACGTTTTACAATAAAACCCACCTCTGGTCAAACTGTCCCAGATGCCAAAAGCCTCGTTAGTGCACCCTGACTCATTGACACCCAACACCCCACAGGAGGGGTGACGGCGGCTCAAACAGCACCCAGACCCCCCCACGAAACCACAGCAGTGACAGCCACATCCCCGGGGCCAGACACTGCTGCCACCCACTCCTCGGAGACCCCAGACCCAGCCACGACCCCCAGGACCTCGGGGGAACCATTCCCACTGCCGGGGCTGGGTGGGCAGCGGGACACACCCCGGGGGGCAGCCTCCCCTCTCCAGCAGTGTCGTGGGGAGGCTGGCGCCGGCCGGGCTGCGGGGCCAAAACCTCCCGATGGAAATACTTCGCTCCTGACGCTGCTGCGGTTTCCGGGCAATCACAGCCGTCAGGGCTTCCTTGTTTTGTTAGGAGCCGGGACGGGCGCCCGCCGCGCTCCCTTCGCCAGGCCCCTCCGTGGCTCCGGCCAGGCACGGTGCCACCGGGGACCGGCGGCTCCAGAGAGCCTTTCCCAACCCGCTTGGATTGCTCCAAACCCGGGGCAGCCGGCAGCAGAGCTTGCCCGCAGTGCTGCCACAAGCCACCCTTTATCCCAGCACAAAACCAGTTTGTTTCTGGCATCCCTACCCCCCCCCCCCGCACACCGGGCTCGAGGAGGATGATGGAACCCCCAGCAAGGCCTTCCTCTGCTCCCCGTGCTGCCTCCACTGTGACAGCACCCGATGTCCCCAACACACTGCGTGGATGGGGTAGCTGGGGTCTCGCTTTGCCAACTGTGGTGCGTCCCCTCCCTGCTGGCTTGTCCCCTGTCCAAGTCTGGGAACATCTCCCAGGGCAGGAGGGCATCAATCCCCACGAGAGGTTGGGCAGAGCTGGCCCGGCGCGATGGAGACGCCGATGGCTTTTTGCCCAGTGTCCCACAGGGATGAGCAGGGTGGT